ATGAAAAGGTTTTTGTAGATACTGCATAATGTTAGTGAAAAAAATGCAAAATGTCTTGTTTAGCTCTCAGTGCAATTTTAAGCTGATATTTATATAACCTAAAAATCATAAATGTTACTGATGAAAATGTATTTCCTGGATTTTTCAGGAATGTACAGGAGGGAGATAACAATCTTATACACCATGGACTCAGAAAATGCATCTCATGTGCTAAAAATGTAGAGAAAAAGTTCAACATTATTTATTCGGTTTCCCAAAATGACTATATTTCTCATGCTTGAAAACATGATCTACAATCTTTTTTCGTAATAATAACATAGAACAAATACAGCATCAAATTTGATTTTCATTCAGTTACAAAGGAAAAAGATAAATAAATTCCTACTATAATTAGCCTAATGAAGACTTATTTTTAAAAAGACAGAAGGAAAAATACCAAGTTAACTTCCCAACTCTAAGCAGGTCTTCTGCAGTGGAGAGAATGCTTTAGACCGAGATGCTCTTCGCATATTTTCTCAAGGTAGAGTTCTACTGTCTAACTTAGCCTATCCACAGGCAGCTTTTGAATACTTGAAATATGACTGGCCCAAGGTGAGATGCACTGAAAGTGTTGGATAGACACCAACATCAAAAGTATGGTAAGTAGAAAGGTTTATATTGACTACATTATTAGCTTAGATACATTAAGTTATATAAAATACATTAAAATTCTAGACACTTTGGTAGTTGCTAGAAAATTTAAATTGTGTATATGGCTTGCAGTACATGTCTACTGCGGAGTGCCTCTCTAAGAGGCTTACAAATGTTGGTAACTCATTTGGCCAATCTTTACCAGACTATGGGTACAAGGCAGTAGAATAGAAAATTGTCAAGAGGCGATATGAGCAGAGAGGAGACACTGCTGCCTTTTGCATCCCTGCACAGGACCTATCTAAGACACTTATGCTACCAATGGACATAGAGGAGCAGAAGAGGGGCAGTGGTATGGTAATTGACAGCTAAGGAGAGGCTTACTCTCAGCTGCTTTAGCTTCATCCAGCTCTTGGCTGCCCTGGATCCCTATTTTCCCCCATCTCTTCTAGACACTTTCCCAATTAGGACAGTGAATTAAATGTGAATAAGAAATAGTGAGTGTCCTCTGTCCACCATGAGCTTACCAAGGCAAAAGGTGGAGCTTACTCAGCGTGTATAACAAAAGGTTTTCGTATTACCTAAGCAGTGACCAAAAAATTCCCAGAAAGGGTGTTCTGCTGAGTTTACTTTTATTGAACAGGCAGTTGGATAGACAGCATTGTGATGAGGAGGAGACTGTCAGAGCAAAGACTGGGTAGAGACGTCTCTGTAGCCTCAGATCACAGAGTCTAGGAGGAAAGCGATGGAGAAGACAGAATCCGTGAGTCCATTCCCAACAGCACTGTACTGCTTCCTATGGTGATTAAGACAAGCTTCTGTATAAACAGATGGTGAAGGGAGGTGATGCAGAACCCGGGCAGACTTTTCCCCGTGTGGTTTCCCTCAATCCTCGCATCATTGGTCCTGGAACAGAAGAGAAGTAGTTGAGATGCTAGAACTCAGTCACTGGAGCATTGTGGGCTGTATATTTACAGCTGTATCGTAGCCAAAGGAATCCATGGATTCCATGCATTCTTGCAGGAACTAACCACTTACCCTCACTTTCATTTTTACATGATTTCAGAGTGCCAATTGAGCACTTAGTATGAGGTGGATAGAAAGCCCTAATTATAGGACTAGTACCAAAATGAAAAAAACAAAAATGCACATAAACTAAAAAGCTACATAAAGTGTAATAATTACTCTAGCACAATTTTGGTTTCATAATGGTAAGCAAAAGTAACCTACTTTCAAGAAAAGTTGTGATGGCTTGACTTCTCATTCCATTCTTAGCATTCTACACTCTGAGAAATCTTTGATCCAGGAGGGTATAATGTTCAGGTAAGAGGGTATAACGTTTCTCTCTTTCTCCCTCCTTCCTTCCCTCCTTCCTTCCCTCCTTCCTTCCCTCCTTCCTTCCCTCCTTGTCTTCCCTCCTTGTCTTCCCTTCTTCCCTCCTTGTCTGTTCTTTCTTTCTTTCTTTCTTTCTTTCTTTCTTTCTTTCTTTCTTTCTTTCTTTCTTTCTTTCTTTCTTTCTTTCTTCCTTTCTTTCTTTCTTCCTTCCTTCCCTCCTTCCTTCCCTCCTTCCTTCCCTCCTTCCTTCCCTCCTTGTCTTCCCTCCTTGTCTTCCCTTCTTCCCTCCTTGTCTTTTCTTTCTTTCTTTCTTTCTTTCTTTCTTTCCTTCTTTCTTTCCTTCTTTCTTTCCTTCTTTCTTTCCTTCTTTCTTTCCTTCTTTCTTTCCTTCTTTCTTTCCTTCTTTCTTTCCTTCTTTCTTTCCTTCTTTCTTTCCTTCTTTCTTTCCTTCTTTCTTTCCTTCTTTCTTTCCTTCTTTCTTTCCTTCTTTCTTTCCTTCTTTCTTTCCTTCTTTCTTTCCTTCTTTCTTTCTTTCTTTCTTTCTTTCTTTCTTTCTTTCTTTCTTTCTTTCTTTCTTTCTTTCTTTCTTTCTTTCTTTCTTTCTTTCTTTCTTTCTTTTCTTTCTTTCTTTCTTTCTTTCTTTCTTTCTTTCTTTCTTTCTTTCTTTCTTTCTTTCTTTCTTTCTTTCTTTCTTTCTTTCTTTCTTTCTTTCTTCTTTCTTTCTTTCTTTCTTTCTTTCTTTCTTTCTTTCTTTCTTTCTTTCTTTCTTTCTTTCTTTCTTTCTTTCTTTCTTTCTTTCTTTCTTTCTTTCTTTCTTTTCTTTCTTTCTTTCTTTCTTTCTTTCTTTCTTTCTTTCTTTCTTTCTTTCTTTCTTTCTTTCTTTCTTTCTTTCTTTCTTTCTTTCTTTCTTTCTTTCTTTCTTTCTTTCTTTCTTTCTTTCTTTCTTTCTTTCTTTCTTTCTTTCTTTCTTTCTTTCTTTCTTTCTTTCTTTCTTTCTTTCTTTCTTAACCTACTTACCCACAAACATGCTAACTCACATTTCTGCAAAGAGCCCCCTAGTGCCACGTACCACCATACCACCTTACCCTCACACAGCACTGCTTACCATGTCTCCAAACTCCTGCTACCCTCCACCTTTCCTTTGCTCCATGCTGTGGCCTGCCTTGCTTTGCACCGGGGGGGGGGGGTGGAATAATACAGGGAAATGTGGAATATTACTAATTACATTTCCTCTAGCATTTCTGACCACATAAGTAAGGGCTTGTACCTTCCTCAGTACTACAGATGGGGGAGGAGAGAGTCTTTTTAGTAAATAGGGCCAGGACAACTCCAGCAGAAATACAATTGCAATAAATCACAAGAGCCCCAACTATAAAGGAAAAGAAATATAAATACTAAGCCATTAGCACTGTGATTGCTCAAAAAATAAGCTATAGTAGTACCAGTAACACATATGTATTGCCTATAAATCAACAAGATGAGGTAACAATATAGGTAACAATGAGGTAACAATCTTTCTTTCTTGGTTTTGTTAACTAACACTCTAAGTGATCCTTACCAATAATAGGTCTATAACCAGGATGGAAAGAAAACACCCAACGGAAAGGAAGAATCTCCCTGTGCTGAAACCTGGTCACTTTGTCATTATGTGAACTAACATTTCATCAACATAACATCAGAGACAGTTCTTTATGCTCTGGTTTTGTCAGGTTTCCTATACGGGATGTAGTAGAGGGAGGTGTGGTCTATTTTATTTGCATAAGAGCAATTTTGGCCACCCTATTCAGAGACACATGTGACTACATATGTTTATAAGAAAAGCAAATAGTAAATTATATAACTGAGATGGAGAGAAAATCAGTAAGAATTTATAGGTAATGAGATACTAAGCCCAACTTGAGAACTAGGGCAAAAATCTAAACTCCCTTTTTATGGATGCATAAAGATGGGTAAATAAATGACATACAAAAAAATAAAAGGAGGTGTTATTATTTCATCCCAGTCCTCTGCCAGCTCTACCTGCCTTCCAAATATGTAGCTCTTCTTTTCCCAATTTTCCATATCAAGGTTTGTGGCTAAACCGACTCCGGCCTCATTTAGTGCTGTTAGCTAAGACCACAAATCTGGCAGAATAGTTTCCAATAGTATTACAGCCAGTTTTTTTGTGCAGTAGCATGGAGTAAAGACAGTTATAGCTAATGATAACTACATTTGTTAAAATATATAATGTTTGATAATTATGTATGAGAGATGATCAAATATTAAATAATTTATCAAAATATACTTAATTAAAATAATTTTAAGCAGTGTTTCCAGGGTCTGTTTCTTAGGTCCTTACTTCAAACTCTTGCTCTGTAATTTCATACTTTGGCCATAGTCCTCATACTACTACAAATATACTCATTTTTTCAGATACTGTCCCAAATACTTAAAAACTAATATCTAATACATATTTCCAATAGTTCATTGAGACATTTGACTTGCAGTAATTATGTCACTTATCAAAGCTCTCATATGTAAAGAACATAAAGTGGCACGTTTGGACTGATTTTTGTCTTCTACCCAAACAGCTTTTCTTAAGTGAGTATTTCTATTTTTACCAAAATACACATCACCTTGCCTGTGACACTCCTCAAATTCAGTCACGAGGGAGGATTTCAAAGTTTGCAATTATACTCAAATGTCCTTATATGGACTTAAATGAAATAGGTCAACTTTCAATGTTGGAGGAAAACATACTGTAACAGGCATTGCATGAGATGACCTAAGTCTAGCAATGTTGCTAGTGTGTAATCCTCTGTAATTATTTTTATTGTAGATCACAGAAAATAAAACCTGTCAAAATATTAGATTAAGCACATGGCTCACAATGAGAACAGCTGCTATATTATTGTTCTCATGCATTTAGCAATCATCTTCATTGTGACAGTGTGATCGATTCTGGGGTCACCTGACCTGGCATTACTTTCCTGGTGTGAGAAATTTCCAGCAGTGGTGCAAGACAACGAAAGCAGAACCAAGAGTTTCCAATATTATCATGTAGGCAGTGTACTCACAGCCATCGGCCTACTGGCAGGCGTGGCTTCTGGGCTGCTGTCCTCGTCACACCTCCCTTTATGGCGTATGCGCGTATAAGTTTGGCGTAACCTGAAACAGAAGAGAGGATGTTTTAATGATGGGAAAATCCAGAATTAAAGCAGAGAAAAGCCAAACATACGGCATCGTAGGTGATGTTACGCATCAGAGCCAACTGAAATTAGGAGCAGAACCGACCACTTCCAGCAGGTGTAGGTGTCGCACAGATTCAACCCTGTGCTTTGCATTTGTCTTCTTTCCCTGAATCTGCTTTATCACATTTCATTTACTAATATATACATACAGCATTGTTGAAATTTAGCAATAAAACTTGGAGATCATCCAAAGTCATTATTCTGTCAGTGGAAAACCAGATCTTAGGGAATTGTTTCACTCTATTGAGTACCTACAATATAACTTGGAGCATATAAAATATAATACAGATTGAATTTTTCAGAGTGAAACAATCTTGGAGAATATGAATTTCAACACCTCTCACTTAAGGATTATTTTTTAGCTTCTGATGGTAAATGTATCATCTATCAAGGCAGTGTCATTTGTCTTTAGACATTGCATCCGCTGAAATTGTTCCACAATGACTGCTTCTAAGAGCACCGAATCAATCCTCGCCTCGCTCCCTTGAGACAGCATGACCCTTTAAATCTCTAATTCATTCTTCTGGCTTTCTTAACCCAACACCCAAGCAACCCATCCGGAGGCATTACTAATACCTCACTATTTCAGTTTCTGAAATCAAAGTTCCCCTGACTAGAGAATCCTTGTCTATGGGTTCTGTGTAGTCAGTGAAAAGTTTGAGAAAAGTTCTGTACTCTAGGCTATAATATTTAATATCAAGAGGCATTAAAGGATTGGGGAGCTAATGATAAGATACACAATCTTTAAATCTTTCAAAAAGTTTATGGAAAATGGAATTAAGTTTAAATGGATTTCTAAGTTCATAATTTTTCTCATGATATGCATTTTTCCATGAACTATTTGAAAACTCCTTAAATATAATTAAATAATAATAATATTTAAAATCTTGGATGATAATATTCCTGCCTTAAATAAGAATTTCTTAATTCCTTCTAAGTTTCATTGGTGGATTTCAAGTCAACCGTGAACTCCATTTCTTAGCAAACTGTGAAGTCAGCTGAAGAGGGAACTGGTATTGTGGCATAATGAGCTAAGCTGCCATCTGTAATATCAGTATCCTATATGGATGCTTGTTTAAGTCTAATCTAGCTCTCTGCTAATCTGCCTGGGAAAGCAGCTGCAGACAGACCAAGTCCTGGTCCCATTCACCCATGTGGGAGACTTGGAAGAAGTGCTTAGATCCTGGCTTTGACTTGGCCCAGTGCTAGCTGTTTTAGCTATTTGGGAGTGAACCAGCAGATGGAAGATCTCTCTTCCTCTCTTCCTCTCTCTCTCTCTCTCTCATTATAACTTTCCAATTAAAAAAAATACTTAGAATGATCAGATGATCTGTCAGTACTGGTTCTAGCAAGCTTTCTTTCGCATTACTGCTACTTTCCATTGAGTCACTTCTTGTCTTAGACACCCTGAGAAATCAGTAACCTGTCAATGGTCTTGCCTGGACTGGCCACACTCCGTAGCAGTGGTGGTGGTTAATGGTGTTTTTCTGCTACGCACAGGATGGCTGCTACTCCCACCCTGATGGATATGCACAGGCTTATATTATACAGATGTTTTATAATTATCACAAAGTCACATCTTTTTTCCACTCAGTAAAATATATAGCAATGTAAGTAAGTAAAATATATAGCAATGTAAGTAAGCAACTTTGTTAAGGGTTATACTTAAATTCTGTGAATTTCCATTCTTATATTTATCATTTTAACCATTATGATTAAAAAATGTCCACTATACACCTCAATTTTATATCAGAGTATGAGTGTTGAAAACCTTTACAGTGAAAGATGTGAAGGTACAACTCATATACTTACAGATTTTCATGGCAAAGCATGCAGGGGTTATTGTATGTCTGGTCATCATCCCCACAAACAGGTTGTAAATCCTTTGGGCAAAGATAACCTATCCTGGGCAACAGTCTGTAATGTTTGCACATCTCGGCATTCTAGATAAGAAAGACACAAAATTGACTTGCTTAACTGTATTCAAGGGAACAAATGGGCTTGGAAGAAGCTCCTGGTTTTTCTCAATCACCTTTAAATAAATAATTAGCAAAGCAGGTATGTTATAGGCCACAAATCATAGATGTACATTAGGTGGACTTCACATATGGGATTTTCATTCTTTTAACAACAAGAAATAACAAAGAACAGAGCAATGGCAAACCAGAAGCCATACATAACACTGCGGACAGAAAGTTTTGTGCTCATGGGAAGAAAACCAGAATGATGATCATGGTAAAAATACTATGTACTTTTAAAGAGTAGCACAGGTCATACACAACTTAGGAATAATTCATAAGTAAATAGTTAACTGGATGAGTTCTTGAGTTCTAGATCTGCCAGTAACTTGATATGATTTACCTAACTTTTCTGAGTTTTCAATTTCTCATCTGAAAACCATGAGTAATGAATAGCACTTTTTACCCTGTGTTTTAGGACGCTGAACTGGGTGATGCATTTTCTTTATTTGAAAGGCAGGGAGACAGAGGGGGAGATACTGAGGAAGATCTTCTCTGCTGACTCACTCCGTGATTGCCCACAACAACCAGGGGAAGCCACTGGATTCACTCACTCAATCTAGACTTCCAACATGGGTGGCAGGGACCAAGCACTTGAGCCATGACCTGCTGCCTCCCAGAGTATACACTGGTGGGAAGCTGGAATTGGAAACAGAACCAGGATTTGAACCTAAGCACTTTGATACTATAAATTCTTAACCTGTACCAAACGCATACTCCTGATCATGCACGTAAAAGATGCCTGACTCAGTGTCAGTCATAAACGTTAAGTGTCAGTATGTTTTCCATAGGAAGAAAAAAAAAGTTTTTATGGAAAACAACAAATATATTTCCTCTTTGCAATTTGGGGCAGTAGGAATTAAATAATTAATCATAATACAGAGGTTCCCTCTTTACCCACAGAGGATACAGTGCACATCCATGGATAGCAGCAAGCATTTATATTACAACTCTATGAGTGAAGGCATTTCTGTTTGTTATTTGAGTGTAGATATCTTTGTTTGTTTGCTGCTTATGGTGAACATAATTCTCTTTTTCTGAAGAAAACTTAGAGGCTCAAAGCCCAATTGTGGCTTAAGACAAGAGCAGCAGCGTCATCTGGTCTAGTGGTGGGATCTCATTTCTTGACCGAGTCACAGGTGCGATCGCTTGGTGACACCCAGGCTGTGTGCACTTCCGTAGTATGACCACTACATGCCAGTAAGGAGTACTTCTTAGACTACGTTTCATGAGCAGCTGTTGTTTTGCCTGTTTATCAGCATGATGCAATTAAGACATACTTCACTTGTGCAGTTAATCTGTTATCCTAGTTTAATTAGATAAATGATTACATGAAATTTGCCTTTGAAACCTTTCTTCCTGGTTTTCTTCAGCCTAGGTGCCAACATGAATGTTTTAGGGCCCAGGCTGAAGATCTCACTTCATCAATCTGCTTCCTGCTTTGACTTCCTTCCTTTCTAGCTCTCACCTTGCAGGAACTTGGAATAGAAACCCTCAGATACTGTAGCAGAGCAGGCTTGGCTGCTGCTTGGCATTCCTGGATGCTCTCTCTCAGTGCCTGGGTACTCTGCTTAGGCAGATGATGACCAGACTACTTGCACTGAGTCCTGCTACCCACTGGGAGAGCTGAGTGGAATTCCGAGCCCTGGCTTCAGCTGCTGTGGGCATTTGGGGAGTCAACCAATGTTTGGAAGAACTTGATCTCGAATCTCTCTCTCCCCCCACCCAGCCCACCTCTTTTTCTCTTACTGTGTGTCTTCCTCTCTGTTATTCTGTCTTTCAAGCACATGGGCAACTCTAACCATTTTTATAAAGACTGATGTATACTCAGACAGGTACTGTGGGTGCCCATCACCCTGTTTTAAGTAAAAAGATTTGAATGCTGCTATTTAGTTAGGGTTGAAATCTGTTCGTGTGAATGTGCTCCGCACAGCATTCTAGTTTGTTGGGAAACGGTTTGGTTTGGGAGGGAAATCAGAGAAGCGAGGTGAGGAGCCTTTTCCAGATGCTGGCTTACAGAACTGAGGCATCTGAATGCACATTTGACATGCAGGGTTAGTCCTTCTCAATCCATGCTAAGCTGTTGTAGAGCTGAGAATCTCCTGAGTAACCCCAGAATGTTAGCCAAACATGATGCACATCTGGTCTTTAAAGGACTTCAGACTGAACTGATTCAGTCTCCATCCACATGAGGATGTGGAAAGCAGGGGCTCGCAGGCCCAAAGCATCCTATCATTCTGAAGCAGTTATTCTTACCAGAGAATCTGTGCTGTTTTCCTCCTTGGAAGACTGACCATGGGATGGCTTTTCTTGAGCTTTTGCATTCTCCAAAGCTTCTCTCTGACTGTAGAAAGAAAGAAAATATACTTTACATAACATTCACAACAGCCAGCTGAGAAGTTAAACCACTCTAATAATATGATAAAGAGACCAGTTCAGTCAGAGCGTGACTAGGATGATAAATTAAGAAAAAGGACACAACTGGGAGCCAATTTAGAGTTCTCATCTGGATGCCTGGCTTTAATCTAGTGGCTTAAAGTCCTTCAGTTTTGATTTCCTGGAACATAAAATTAGGTAGCATTGAGAATTTCTAACTCAAAAAATATATGCTATGGAAAGCTACATATACTGATTACTATTATGTTCCTAATTATTTTTTTGGTACCATCTATCATGTCCATTGGTCCCTTTATTTCATTGTTCATTATCGTAATCTAAAACCCCATTCTAAAAAACAAATTGCTTAGCCCTGGAGATTGCAAGACATAGTAAGATGTACAAATCTGTAACGTTTTTAAAAGCAATGTTTTTTTTTTTCTTGCATCTGATCTAATTAGGGAACAAAAATTTGGAACAGTTTTTCTAACTATGATGCTGAACGTTTTAAGTTGCACGGTTACTAAATATCAGGCTTAGAACTTAAAGCTGGATTCCTTGTCATCACGCTCACATATTCTTCCTATTATTATGACAAACATCCTGGACTTTTGTTGTATTTTCGTGCTTATTTTAAGAATCCTTCCGAATTCATGAGCGCACACATTGATTCAACCAGGCGTTTCTAAACATGCCATTCCCAGCCCAGAAGACTCCTCTTACTTACAAGATAGCTCTGCACTTGTAGCACTTGTTTTTATAAACTTTTCCATCAGCATCACGCACAGGGTCATTCACTCGCGGGCAGGGAAGTTCATTGTTCCTGACGTAGTTTCGGAACTCAATACATTCATCCTAGAAAACGAGAATGGGTTCATGACTGTGGCTTTCTCCAATTTGATCTTAGGAAGTCCTCTCATGGCTCTGGGCTCAGACTCACTGCACTCATCCTGTCACTGGAGGCCACGGAACTGCCCAGCGGTCTCAATTTTGCTTCCTCCGCTTCATTAGGAACCTCTCTGCACTGCTCCTGGAAACGCAGGGAAACACAACAATAGTTGGAGGACCTCCTGGCCTCCGCCTCCCGTCCATCCATCCTCATTTTCTCTGTTTTCCATAGGAATTGTGCTCTTGACCAACAATGTCCCAGGAATCTAACTCTACAAAGGAGATTGTCACTCTTAAAGGACTGAAGGAAGGTGTCATCTTTGCAATCGTTAAAAAGCAAACAGAAAAGGCAGTATACTGCATGCACGTTACTGATTCGCTGGAGCTGAGAAAATCATCTGAAGAAAACAGAAAAAAGATACTAAGGCAAGAAACTGAAGGGAGTGTGGACATTACTTTGTTATCTGAACTGTTACCATCAGTATCAGTAGGCTATGTGAAACCTCATGTCACATTTGAAGTATCAGAGAAAAACATGAAGTTGAGGTGATAGTTTGTATCCTCAATTTTTGAGCCCATAATTCCACCAAAAGACCCACGCAGCGATTGATACACATTCTAAGACAATTTTCTACGAAATTAAGAAAAGCATCAAACCCCCAGGCCAGGGGGGCAAATATCTTACTGTGATGCAAAGTGGCAATATTTGTGAAGTCAACTTTTCTTTGAGATAAGAGACTAATATCTTTATTGTCCTTAAAGTGGAAAGGACACAAGATTGTGAGGGTGAACAATAGAAAAGCTCGTGTAGTATATTTTAAGAAATAACCTTTGCATCACCCGACGGCTTGGCAGTTGGTTTTTCTTCATCATTTTTTCTTTCACTAGCTTCTCGCTCACTGCAAAATGAAAAGGGACGAGGTAATTTTCCTAGGGTTGCTTTTGAACAAACTACTTCCCTAATTCTAAAATACCGGCAAATTTAACACCGTTTTTGTATACCTTAGACACATTAAACGTTTTTTTTTTTTACTAATTATTTCTGAACGATGGAATTTTCATAAGAATATATTTGTTTCAATGTGCCTAAGTTTCACAGATTTGTTATACTGTCCTTCAGAATGATATAGCACTAGAAACTGACCACAGGATTTTTTTTCCCCCTTACTAGATTTACGGATTTCCTCAAGATGCTGCTTCATTTCTCCCTTTAGTTGACCTAATGTAATTATAAGAATTTAAGTTTGGATTGTTCTCTATGTAGTTAAAGTGCTTTGGGATTTGTGAACATTTTTTAAAAATACCATTTCCTCGAATCTTCACAAAAACTGAACTATATAGTCTTCACTCTCTCTAAGGGGGTACTTCAAAAAGTTCATGAAAAAGTGGAATTTAAAAATTAGCTTATTTTAGTTAGACGTTTTTTTGAAATCCATGACGTTTTTTAGGATGTGTATTTTCCATAAAATTTGAATACTCCGTAGGAGTAACAAACTATGGCCTATCCTACTTTGTCTTCAATCCTAATCCTTTTTAAAAATTAAGGATTGAGGCAGGTGCTATAGTGCCATAGTTAAATCTCCACTTGTGATGAGTGTGTCCTGTATTGTAGGGATGGTTCAGGTCCTAGTTATTCTGAATTTGCCCAAACTTCCCACTTCTGTGCCCGGGAAGGTAGTGGATGTTGGATCAAGTGCTTGTGCCCTGCTACCCACGGGGGAGACCAGGATGGAGTTCCTGCCTTATTGCTGGAGTTCTTGGTTGCTGTAGTCATCTCCATTTCTCTGCTTTTTGAATAATACGTTAAAAAAATTATCACTGTAAAATAGCTGACATTCAACTGGAGGATCTCCAGTTGTGATCATGCATCTTGTTATCAAAATTATAAAAGCTATTTGAAAGTGTTTGGGAAACAATCCTGGCAAAAGTGACTAGGTTTTCCTGGTTAGATGCCAGATGCCTTAGGATTTAAGGTGACAGGATCTGTCTTGGGACCAAAAAAGGCACAACAGGTCAAACTCCTTTGGAAGCCTCTGTACGTACAATATGCTCTGACACATGGCGCATTTGTTGACGTGCATCTTGCCATCAGGACCTCGAACGGGGCTGTTTTCTCTGGTGCAGACAAGTTTTCCCAAGTGTCTCTGCTGGCTCCGGAATTCGTAACACTGATCCTGCAAATAGGAATAGAGAAATCTGTAACTAGCATCATGCAATCTGTGAAACCTGAACAACATGCTTCATTGTTTAGACATGAATTCATAACGTTTCAGGGAAAACAGAAAAACGAGAGGTCAGAGATGGAACATGCTTTGAATGTTTCGTAGGATCCCTTTCAATCGACTGTCTTGCCCCAAATGGAGCTTCACTGCTGCCTACAGCATCCTGTGAGGTTGATCTCCAAGCTTGTCCACTAGCAGGTACAACTATTACTCCTTACATAAAAAGTCTTACCTTTGGCAAGACATACAAACACAGAAATTTCCAACTTTATTTCTCAACAGCACATTTTTTTATGACAAATTTTCAAATCACATGTTTATTGCACACCAGGCATTTGTTGCATACTCTAATGGGGTTGTCTTTGATAATCATAAAAATCTTGTAGGATAAATACTCATCATCCCGTTTTACAGGTGAGGAAAGTCATCTTGGAGGTGTTAAGCATTAGGATAAGGTCATAGTGGGTTTGTGACCCAAAACTTGTTAACAATTTATACTTTTAAAAACCTATTTGCTTCTATATGACAGAGAACAAAACCCCCTTTTTAATTGAAAAAAAAATAAGAACCTTAAATAGAAGCCAAATTAGAAATTAGATAGCCTCCATTGAAATCTTTGGGGACTACCTGAAGTCTTTTAAATTGCCTTCAGACTCCAAGAGCCATGGTGGAGATTAGGGATACATTCCTTTAAAATATTCCCTTTATCCAGATTGTACTTACCCTTCTTAAGGTTGTGATACTTATAAACAATTCCAGGCTTACTTTTTAATACTTTTTTGGGATTGAATACCTGATGAACATACTATATGCCTCATAGCCATTTTTTTTTCAAAATGTGCTAGAATTATTCTCCAGGAAACCCCAATACTATAGACATATGTGTATGATGTGGTTTTTCCTCAAGTATAAAATCTAAACATTCCACTAAACAGATTGAGGGGAAAATTAAATATGAAGATTTGTAAAGCCTATTTTACTTTGTATACCTTCGTACAGATAAGAAGACCATGGCTCTCTTTCTTACACACACAGTCCTGCAATTTTGTATATGTTAATATGAGGGAGCTTCAGAAAGTTTATGGAAAATATTAAATCATGGATTCAAAATAAACATCTTTTTAAAGGACACTTCTGTTTATCTATCTCTAGGCATCCATCCATCCAGGCAGAGCAACCAACAGGGACAGAGGAATAGCTCATGTGCTGTGTCTCTCCCCAGAAGCCTGCAGCGGCTGCCATTGGATCAAGCTGAACCCAGAGTAGGAACTCCAAGCAGGTCCCCACCTGGCTAGCAGGTATCCAAATACTTGGTCATCATCTGCTGCCTCCTAGACACATTAGCAAGATGCTGGATCAGAAATCAGAGGTGGGACTTCATCCCGCCCACTCTGATTTGCGGTGAGCACTCCAACCAGTGTTTAACATGCTGCACAACACACCACTCCATAGCCTTATCTTTTGATTTCAGTTTCCCACAAATATTTTGAGGTATGCTCATAATTTTTCCCTTTTTGAGATTTCTAAAATACCTAAAAAGAGATTTAAAGCTGACTAAAAGGTTAAATATATGGCCAGCACTGATCATTTGAAGTATTTTTCATTCATCTTCCAAAATGTACAAATATTTCCAATAGTTTCAATAGTAATAATCAATGCCAATGTTTCACTTTAGTTCACATATGCCTAATGAAAAATTTCCTTGCTAATAGCACAATTTCCCAGGAAGTTATTCCTACTTCTCTTTTCTGATTGAAGTCTACCGACAGGTAAGTAGAAGCTGTTCTAAGCCTCTGTGTAGTTTGTGGTTATTATTTAAAGTCTCAAATTGAACACTAGGTGGCGCTTAAGTGCCAACTCAAGTATTCATCCTCTAGAACCCGATTTTTGATACTTACTTTCTTGCTTTGGCATCTATCTGCCTGATTATTTACTCGTTTAAAACTTCACCAATGAGGATCACTGGATAATCACAATTAATTAGACAGTTGCCATTGGTCCTCTTAAGCGTGTGGTAACTTTATCCGCGAAGCTCCTAGGGCACTGAATGGCATGCTATTTCTTCACATGGTCTGGCCATGTCTTTCTCGTTTACCCAATGATTGGGGCAGAGTCAGCATTCTATAAATATCTGTTTAATGAGATAAAGTGTACAAAAGAACGAGCACACTAGGTATTAGAATGTCTAGCATATATTACATGCTCGGCATTGGCCTTTTCTGCTGCACTTCTCTTGTCCTCCTCCTCTTTCTTCTTTCTCTCAGTTGCTTCTTTTTCCCTGGAACAGAGCATGGAAGAAAATGTTTCAACCTCACTTTCAGAACAACTGTCATTCAAACAGCTGAGAAATGAGGGTCATATATTTTTAAGTCTATCAAACCATCCAACTTTTTGTTAAAATACTCACAGTCTTTCCTTACACATAGCACACTTATTGCCGTGGGTCTTGCCATCCGGGCCCCTCACAGGATCACTTTCTCGTGTGCAGAGAAGCTGCCCATTTTTCATTTGGCTTCTGTACTCATCGCATACATCCTGCAAAGGGCAGAGGGATACACTGGGAGTGCAGTGTTCACAGAGCACTTTCCTGGGGGTGAGAGTTGGATGATGTTTGACCAAGAGCCAGGCAGCGTAAACTATTAATATTGATGTCCGTGCTTGACGGAAACATGATTCACAAGAGTGCCCATGTCCCCTGCCTGGGAACCTGTAGAGGTGTTGCTTCACTTGCCAAGGAAGAATTGTGGTTGAATACAGCACTAAGGTTGATAACTGGATGGATGTAAAATGGGGTAGTATTCTTGTATTATTGAAATGATCTGCAGGTTCGTATCCTTGGAGCGGGAAGGCAGGGGGTCCAGCTTGAAATAACACAGCATAAGAAATATTTCACTGACCATTGCTGGCTTTAAAAATGGCCACAGACTAAGGATGCTTGTGGCCTTTAGAAACTGGAAAAGGCCAAAAACAAATCCACTGCCTGGAACCTCCAAACGGGAGTACAACCTGTCCCCCTAGTGTGAGGGAGAGTACTCAGAACTCCTGAGCTCCTGACGTCTAAGGTAATAACTGTGTTGTTGTAACCTGCTGTTTTTATTGCTCCTGAAATAGAGGACTATAAATTCATGTACTTGAGGAACTGTATTGACCAGAGTTTTGGGAAATTAATAGCTATGTATAAAAGTGTGCACAAAATGTTAACCTGAAAGACTGATTTAACTGAAGATTTCTACACTGCACAAGTTACGATGGATTTTGACCTTCTAAGGGCACAATCTTGGCTGACCATACTGACACTCTATTTACATAATTGTGACAGCCACATGTTGCCCTTTGGAAAGAACAGTTGTATCCAAACTTAGTTAACGACTTACCTTTTCCGATCCTGAGCCAGTCCCATTTGATCTGAAGTAAGAATCCTTATTTTTTTCCTCTGCTTCTCTTTGCCTAGGTGGACAAAAAAAAAAAAGTCATGCTTACCCTCTTCACACAGAGCATTAGGAGGGACCTGAGTCCTTGTGTGTCTAGAACTTCTGCTTTTATGGGAAATCTCTGCACTTCATTGAGAGGATTGGTCAGCTGCACTATGAAGGCCATGCATGAAGTTTCCTCATCGCAAGGGAGACCAACTCAGGTAACTACGGACTCCCTGAATTGTGTCCAAACTTAACTTGTCATAACTTCCCGTTCTTCAGTCTTCTTTCACATCTCCCCACATCACAGAATCTGTTGCTTCTTCCTATTGTTAATCCTACTTCAGACATTGAACGCAAATTTTAGGTCTCTAGGTTTAGCTATCTCAGGGCCTCCATTTTCTTACCTTATGCTATGGTTTTTAAGCCCTAAGTTCTCTGACTTCTTAGGACAATCTATTATAATCTCATTTCTTCAAGTATAGAGTCCAAGACAGAAAGAAGAGCCACAGAGGAGGCATCCTAGGGTCACACTGGTTATTCATGTGTTACCTTTCTTATAAAATATTCATGCAACAGATCTCTACATTTTTATGTGCTTTTATCATCAAATGAGATATTTAAAAAATTTAAACCCTCTGAGAATCCAAATATTTTTTATTCTACAAGTTGCGATACAGGACCAGCCATATGATTTTTCATGAGCAAACCAGGTGACCCTGAGGTAGGTAGACCAGGATCTGCTTACTTCTCTTTCAAAATTCACTTGACTTTTCACACAAAACAAAGCATGTGTATACCTGTATAAAGTACAACATATGAACACACATATGATGAACATATGATGCAACCCGCTCTTGAACAGAGGCTGAAAAAGCCTTCTCACGCAAAACCCTATTGTCCTAATCTGCCATTTTGTCCTAGAATTTTAATAATTTTAAATGAATACAAAGCAGGTATTCAGAAGGAATAAATTCTGATTTTAGCTCTGAAACTAACTGCCCCCCCCCCAACCCTCACCTTAGGAAACGGCTTCAGTTTCTCTCATTTGGCAAAATGTAGCATTTACATTAAATGATCTTGCCTAGCTGTGCTCCCCTAAGCCAGTGTGGTTTTGCTTTGGGGGAGCTGGAATGTTTATAAAGAATAGATCTATTCTTTATAATCATGTAAACACTCAATAGCAGAGTTAAGAGCATTGTGACAAATTTTAGAACTAAACATGCTCTTTAAGGTCACCTAGAATGGTCTGACTTTACACACAGGACTAACAGCACTTGTTATTGCTACAATAATGCAAATCAAGAGCTTGAGGTGGGTGTTAAAGCTTTCCAATGAAGTATCATTTATCAAGGGAACATAAGAAACGGACACCAGATCATGCACTGTGTCCCATAAACATAATTAGACCATCTTTCAAACTGCGCCAGCTGATTATTAAATAATCACTGACATAAAGCAGTCTAAAATTCAGGCTAAGATGTAGTTTAAGAAATGACTATCATAAACGTACTTAAGTGCCACCATATTATGAAGGAGAGAAGAGCAGGAAGCCGCCGCTTGGTGCGCTGCCTTTGCTAGTATCTATTCCTCAGGGGGTGCAAGAAGAAGAGATAATAGGTGGGAATTAATCAGTGAATAATTCCCATGGAGGGAGCCACAGCAAGTGAGAGACGGCCACTAATGCAGGGGTAATATGGGACTCTGTGTTAGGTACGTGTGGCAAGAACTCACAGCTTTTCTCTACACATGGCGCACTTGTTGTTGTACGATTTGCCGTCAGCGTCACGCACAGGGTCGCTCTCTCGAGTACAACTGAGTTGTCCATTTTTCATACTTTCCCGATATTCAGCGCAAGGATCCTGAAAAAGAGAGAGAAAACAGGTCCCCCATATACCTGCGTCCTCTATTGTGTTATTAAAACTCAGATTGTTGAACAGATTTAATATGAAGGACTGCTGCCCACAGAGAAAGAGGGCAGATGGTCATGGCTTCTGACACTGCTGCCAAGGCTCTCCAGGGCAAATGATCAAGTTGTCTGGAGTTGAACAGCCCAGATTAAACTACAAACCAAGTCTCTCGTGCCATCTGTTCTGGCATGCAAATTTGACCAAAACACAGCTTCACTCATTCATTTAGATGTCATTTATAGCTTCTTTTCAAAATAAGTGCAGAGTTGAAAAGCTTCATGAAACCCATCATGCCTCAAGTATTTATATTCTGGCCTTTTATGGGGGGGAAAAAAAGGAATGTCTGATGTGCAAATGGAAGCAAATGGGAAATGCCGAGGGAAAGCATAGTTACACAAAACGCCAGGGATGATAGGCTCCAATTATTAGGAAAAGATAGACAAGTTCACAAGTTGATCCCTTCAGAATGAGAACTAACGGAAAAAAAAAATCTTTTTGTTGTTTTTCCCTCCCATATTATCAAAGGTAAAATTGGGCTTGTGTCAAAGCTGGGGGCAAAGAATTGCTTCTGCTACCCCAAGACGGTGAGGTTCCTAAGGAGGTGGAATCTGAGCCTGTGAGGATGACACTCTAAACCGTCCCAGGAGATGTACCAGACAAGAGCTGACTGCTTTGCTTCACACCGTATCCCCCTAAGAGCACTGCTGATGAGAGAAACTGGAGTTCCACAAGCTGTAACCTACTCTATGCGTCCTAATTCAAGTGTTACTACAAAACAGTGGCTCCAGTAAAGAACCACTGAGGCAAGAAAGAATAATGGAAGAACGTGAAGGCTGTGTGATGCTGATGAAAATGATTGCTACTGACCTGCAAGCTAGATGACTACACCAGGGACCAGGAGACTGGGAAAAGACCCTCATATGGCTAATTATTTCCAGAGGTAAAAAAAAAAAAAAATCAAAACGAGCCCAGGAAGCTAAGAACTGCTAGAACGTCTCACAGCTTATCCTGCACACCCTTAAAGGAAATTTTTCTTCCAAGGATACTTCCGGCAGCCCTGACTACATTCGCCCTCACCAGAGGCTGTGTCGCTGTTGGTCGTAGCAGTCCCACTCAGATTATGGAACCCTGGGGTTGTTCTCACCTCTTCTTTCCCTCCTCCACCACCACTAGAATTGCGTCCTGCAGCATTTCTCTGGCTTTCCTCTTCTTTTTTCTTTCTTTCTTCATCTTCTTTCTGGCTGGAAATTAGAAAGTGAGAGAGAGGGAACAATAGCTTAAAGAGAATGGAGTTTCTCATCACACAACCATATTACATGTGCAGATTTCACATCTCCCCAACTTGTACTGTATTGCAGGTCCTCTTCCCTGAAAAGGAAAGGACAAACTGCATGGAGCCCTTTGTCTGGAAAGCTCTTTGGCAACCAACGTACACGTGACTATCAAATAAGACAAAGTGAGTGATTCATTAACATTTTATAAATGTTCATTGGGGATTTCAGGATGTGATTTCTTAGAGGAAAAATACATTTAAGAGATCCAAAAACAACTATTTTCTCTACCAAATGTATTCTTACTCCTTAACTGCCACTTTTCTCAAAGAGAAGATCATTGGAAACCCCTCCCGTCACCCCCTCCCCGTTAGCCAGTAGCCACATGCATTGATCTCACTCTCACCGATCTCCCACCTTCATCTACTGACCTTCTGTCCAACTTCCCTTGCTCTAGTTTCCTCTAACTAGATTACTACAAATTAATACTTGCCCCCAAGATGCTGAATTTTAGTCCTTTTCTTATTTCACCCTCTTATTACTGAAAAATGAATATTCCTAAAGGGACCTGTTTATGACACTTATGTTCCTAACTGAACAATTGAGCAGCTTTAGAATAGACCCCAATATGCTTGTTGTGGCACTCAAAGCTGGTAAAGTTCTAACTTCCATGCCTTTTTTACTATTGTACATGATACAGTCTCTCAACTTCTATCTTCACCTATGCTGCCTCCCTCTTCTCATGGCTTCTTTTCATGTCCGTATCTTATCTAAATTATAATGTCCATTTTTATTTCATATATTATCCAAATTATAAGCTCTGGTTTCTCTAGAGCATTAATCATATTACATACATTATTTTCATTTAACATTTCTTCTTTGTGTTTTATGAGTATATATGGCTATTCCATAGCAATACTATAAATGTAAGAATATTGAGAAGAGTATTACACTCCTCTCTTTATAATTGGATATATTCAGCAAAGCACTTAAATATGTTGGGTATAGGTGCAAACTACATAAGATGCTACTTTTCATTTCTAAAAAGACACTTTTGAACGTGTAAGTAAAGGAGTTAGAGTGACAGAAAAACTGCACGTTTCCCAGTGAGAATTTCAGGACAATCCAGAGAACAAATCCACTTGATAGTAAAGGATTTAAATATTATCAACAAAGATGTTGTCATCTACTGGTAGGCTGTGTCCCAGGACTAAAGAGTGTCATGTCCGAATAATCCGTTCTCTGTTTCTAAAACTGTGAGTCTTGATCTAAAGAAAGATTCACCTTAAAACGCTTCACAATCACTTGTTCCTTGTATATAAACAAGGATAGAACCACCACAATCCGTATTGTCCCTCCAACTATTTGCCTCCCATCTCTACCAGCCCGCAGCAGGAGTTGGCTTTGTGCACTCACAAGACTGCCTTACACATGGCACACTTGTTGCCATGGGTCTTTCCATCAGGACCACGCACAGGATCATTTTCTCTGGTGCAGAAAAGCTTTCCATTTTGTAAGAGGCTCCGAAATTCATTGCATGCATCCTGAAAGGAGCAGAGATGAGATATTTTCTTGAAAGTCACTTTTCAGAGTTTCAACCAAGTGTTATACATGAAAAAAAATGACCTCAAGATTATTGATTATTTGCTGGCAATTATATTATTCAACTCCTACCAAGCATATAGATACAGATAGACAGGATATATATGTATGTATACATATATGTATTATCCCCCTCTCTCTCTCTAATCCAGATTTACTTCCTAAACACCTGCAAAGGCCAGGTCTAAGTCAGACCAAAACTGGACTCTCACATCAGTGAAAAAGGCCCAAGCACCTGAACCAGCATCTGCCATCTCCCAGGTGCATTAGCTGGACTTGGAAACAAGCCGGGACTTCAATCCAGACACTCCGATATGGAATGTGAGCACTCCAAACTGAAACTTAATCACTCAGCCAAGCACCTGCTTTCCCTCTAGAACCTGAATTTTCACTTTAAAATATGGGAATAGAGTACACAGGTGTTTGAAAACTGGGATATGAACAGAATTCTTCCAATGATCAGTTCTGGAATATAAAATTTTATGAAAACAGTCATGCCCATGCATTTGTGTAGAAGGGTATGTTAAAATGTACTTAAAACGACAAATGAAAATGAATAGGACACATCTGTGCTTTGTGTACAAAATTTAAAACCCATGCATGGTTTTCTGTTATACAGGTTTTTCACGAGTGCTTTGAAGGTCCCTGTGCAATCCAGTGCTGCATCAGAGCCTCCACAGCACATCAGAGTGGCGGTGATGGTGATGGGGACTGTCTGGCCATGCATCCCTGAACTACATGAACCTCGTTTCCCCTCACCCCAAGCCCTGCAATAATCCCTAAATTGTTAGGAAGAACTTGCAAACCCTCATCCTTTCACTGCAAGACTAACCGCCCTCAGACCCCCTACCTTGCTGGCTTCTCTTTTAGCCTTTGCTCTGGCTTTGGCTTCTTTTTCTTTGGCTTCTTGCTGGCTATAAGAGGTGGAATACAAAGGAAAAGTTCATTTATGGCACCCAATATATTATAATAAAGGAGGAATTACACAGAAATATGCCTGTTCTGACTCAGTTTGGAGGGAGAAGGTAAACACATACCTCTTTACATCATTCTTATTTTTAATCTTTTTTTTAAAGGTATGCAAACCACGTAACAGCAAATACATTATTTACTTTGTTTTCTTTTGAAAAATAAATACGCTTCAGATCAGCTCAGCTCTGGTCATTGTGGCAATGAATATATTTATTAGAAGGTAACAAATGGTCAATTTATTCATTTGTACCCAAGATCACTCATTTAGATTATTCATGACAGTGATCCATGTAGGCAGAGAACACAAGCTCCAGTCCTTTCGTGTCATTAGCTCTGAGACAATTTATCTTTAGCATGTGCGCCTCCCCTGATGGTGGTTCAGTTGCATTTCAGGACACTTGATCACTAGGAAAAAAAGGCATTGGTATACTAAGTATATGGCTTTATAATAGTAAATTCCTGAAGTTACTATAAAGATAGTCTCGAGTATCTGTATTATGAAGGACATCTTCAAGGACATCCTTCTTGCCCCCTGGAGATGCACTGCCCACAGTCAGCGGCAGCAGTGGCTGCAGCTCTACTCACAAGAAGGCCTCACACATGGAGCAGATGTTGCCGTGGATCTTCCCATCCAGGCCCTCAATGGGGTCATTCTCTCGGGTGCAGGGTAGACGTCCATTTCTCACATAGTTCCGGTATTCACTGCACAGCTCCTGCCAAATTAGGGAGGAACTGAGAATCAACTAACTACATATTGGAAACCTTTCACATTATCTTTTTGGAATCTATGACATAATGCCCATAATAGTAAGTCTTTAAAACAGGTGACACAGAAGGTTGGTATTAGCCAGGATGCTTTAATAAACCAGGTCACACGTTATTTAGAGCATAAGGTTGCTATTGTACATTTCATTGGAAAATATTTTAATAACATTCTAACCTAGGCACTGTGAAAGTAACAAAGAATAATTTATGATGTCTTAAATTGGTCAAAGAATTTGCCGTAGGAAGAATAATGCCACCCTATCTCCAAAATATCTGCAGGTATTTGGGACCCATGAGTATATTTTTAGGTGAAATGGGTTTTGCAGATATAATTCAAGTCAAAGACTTGGTATATGCAGACTACCATAAATTGTTCCAATGGCCTCAATGTAGTCACAAGGGTCAAGCCTTAAAACTAAAACAGTGCAGCACAAGAGAAAGAGGAAAGATGTGACCATAGCAAAAAGGGGAGAATCAATGTTGTTGGTTATGAAAATGGAGGGAAGGAACCAAGAACCAAGAATATTGGTAGCCTCCAGAAGTAAGGAGAAAATTTTTCAGAGGCCCTGGAAAGGAATATAGTCCTACCAGTCCTTTGATTTTATTCTAGTGAGATTCGTATAATATTCTAAACTATAAATCATAACACAAATTTGTTATTTTAAGCCCTCACAGGTTACAGCAACCACCACCCCCCAAAATTAATACAAAGTTGATACTTTCTTAAGAGAAACCCAGAGAAGCAATTTTAACAAGAATAAATTATTTTAAAAATTAAAGAAATTCATTGACATAATAAATGATGGACTTACTAAAGACTTTTGGAAAGTCAAAGAGAGAATGAATATCTTCCATCTGCTGATTGACTTCCCAAGTGATTACAATGGCCAGAGATGGACTGGTCCAAAACTGAGAGCCAGGAACTCCTTATGGGTTTCCTGTATGGATGCAGGTACCCAAGTCTTGAGCCATCCATCACTGCTTTCCCAGGCCACAAGCAGAGAACTTGGATCGGGAAGCGGAGCAGCTAGGACATGAACCACTGCCCAGATGGGATGCCAGTGGAGAATTAGCATGTTAGGCCACCAAGCCAGTCCCCAAAGGAGAAAATTCTTCAGAGAACAAGTGACACTCTTTCTGAACCATGAAAAGTGTCAAAACTGCAGTATGTAGAAGGAATACCCTCTGAGTATTCCTTTCATCATCATAGAGAAGGTGAACTTCATTATGTGTCAAAGAATTGGTGAATTATCCAAAAGGACAGTGAGATTAGAAATAGTATTAAATGAACATTTCTTCATGAGTATTCCATGAATCACTATGCTATTACATATAGGTTTCTTGAGACTTCATTTTATATATATATATATACACATATATCACAGTAAATGTATTATACATATATATATATATACACATATATCACAGTAAATGTATTATACATATATATATAAATGTAAGTGTTTATGTGTCTGAGCTTCAGTTTTTAATGTTTTTAATGTTGTTGAGCCAACAAGCTACAAGGCCACAGACCAATGTTTACATGTCTAAGAAGCAGCCAGGTGGTGGTCAGTAGAACTATTACATGAAGAACAATGAATAGAATAATAGGAATTACATCAAGAGATAACAAAGACCTAGCGACTGCAATACACTAGAAGGACTTTGGCTCTTACTATGAGTGAGGTGAGAAGCCGTTAGGCGACATGACATCTTTAAAACTTTTAAATGATTACTTTGACTTAACAGTTGAGAGTAGACTGTAGGGAGCAAAAGTAAAAACAGAGAGAGCAGTTAGAAATAAGTTCTTCCAAAATAAAAAGGAGAAAGGAAAAGAGTAATGAAGGCCTGCGGCACAGCCTCCAAGACTATTAAAAAGCAGAATGTCATACAATTCAAAGTGCATCATGGGTCTCAAAGCCAGAACTTGTGCTTAATTATCACCATTATCATATCTGTGCTAGATGATTTTCTATGGATAATTAGATGAGCAAATCCATTTCTTCTTATCTAAACCTCCAATTCTACTTAATTAAAACACAGATAAATATATGTACTTCAAATGGCTACTGCAAAGGTAAGTCACAAAGGTTTTTATACCGTGAGGGTCACAGCGTTATCACTATCCCTGTCATTATCATGTGACATGTTATTTTACAAAAAGCAACCCAAGGCTTAGAGATGTGCTTAAGTAATTTCCTGAGTCTCAGAGAATTAACTGGACCCAAACCCTAAATTTTTCTTTAAACTTCATATTCAATTTTGCAGCGGCTGAATATTAGCTTCTATTGATTGCCATTTAGATATAACAAGGTGTCCTTTTTGAGTAATATAATTCACATGGCAAGTAGGCAGAGGGAGATTTCTCCTATGTCTGATGTGTAACCTACTAAAAAGATTTGTTGTGAATTAACTGATTAAGGAAAATGGATCGCTTTCATTTGCAAAGTTAGCAAGACGAGTGGGATTTGAAGGGAAAAAGTATTACCAAGGGAGATTGCTCACTGAACACTCGGGAATGTGCGCTTCTGGTAACGGTAGACAACTACCTGTACTGCTTCTCTCTTCACTTTCTCAGCTTCAACTTTTTCCTTTCCGTCTTTGTTCGCTTTTTTCTTCTCCTCTTCTTCCAGTTTGCTGCAACAGAAAAAAATAAGATTGAAGTTGAGCAGAAATTTTTTTCAATCTATGTTTTAAGAAAAGATGTGTATTTTCTAGACAAAAGGTCTGATTCAGTGTCCAGTATAAAAGTCTCCAGTTCAAGAAGGTTTACTGCTTTGATCAGGAATGGAAAACAAGCCAGCAATTTACATTATCTCCTCTTCCAAAACAATAGTAGAAAAAGCATGCGCTTTTATCAGAACGAGGCCCTTAGGTGATCTTATTTTTGTGTAGTTGTTACTTTAATCACTAAACTATAAGAATCCACAATTCTGATTTCCTTTCAATCGTTAAAGGTTTTGCCTAGCCAAATAATACATCAATAGTGACAGCAAGAGATGATGCCAGGATAGGTGACTGGGCCCATCCTCACATAAATCATGTTTCACCACCAGGTACATTTTTCAAATGTCATTTCAATAGAAATAATGTTGCAATTTGAGGTTTTGCATTATAGTAGTGATAAAACAGCAATTTTTAAAAGGTTAATCTCAAGGCTAGTATCCTGCTATGATTGAACTTTCTGCTGACATGTATCTCAGAACTTTCCATGTTAGCACAGCACCAACACACAGAGCAGGTGAAGGGAAATTTTGATGTCTTGAATATCGGGTTAACGTTTATTCTACTCTCCTGCTCTGCCAAATTTCTTTTAAAGGAACTATGTGCGTGCACTTAAGGTTGGACTAAGATCTGTGAAAGCTGACATTACATAATATCTGCATAAAAATGTGAACAGTTACTAGTGAACATTTTTTTAAAAGCTGAATCGCAGAAGGGGATGAATCTCAGAAGGGGATCAGGAGACTAAGAATTGAAGGTAGTAAAAATCGGGTTTTATATTATCCCATATGATTGAGTTCTGCCCAAAATTTTAGCAACTACATGGCAAAGCCAAGGCCCTACCACCCTAGCATGGCATCACAAGGTCACGCGTTGGTGATGTTAATAACTCTAGTACAATGAGTCTGCCTCTTGTGGATTTCACCTTACGCTAAATCAATGTATAGTAATATTCCTGAAAAAAAAAAGAATATTTCTCTAGTCCACTTCCTCTTCAAGTTATTTTATCTTGAAAAGCAGAGCATGGGTTTGGGGGAGATTTTCTATCCTCTGGTCTACTTCCCAAATGGTTGCAGCAGTGTTTCTGGGAGCAGGACAAAAACAGGCTGCTGATTTCCACCCAGGTCTCCCACCCAAGTGGCAGGGACCACGCATTTGGGCCAACTTCTGCTGCCTTCACAGATGCTTTGGCAGGAAGTCGGATCATTAGAGGAGCAGCCAGGAGTTGAACTGGCACTCTCAACAGGGGATGACAGTGTTGTAAGGCACAGTTTAGTCCACTGTGACACAAGGCTAAGCCTATTAGACTTACTTCAACATCTCTTATCTACTAGCCTCACGGGTCTCCTTCCAGCTGACCTCCATTTTTCACTCACAGCTGAGTATATTCACAGAATCATAAATGTGAGATTTTTAAGATCATCTAATTCAAATCATGAAACTGTTACACATGAAGGTTACCAAGGACTAAAAACATCTACATTAAATTACGTCTCCCTTTTTAACCACAAGATAAGGCGATAACTGAATATAAAATTACACTGTCACAATATGATTCAGTGTTACTTTTCTACATCCATCTAGTATACAGTCCATGCAGCACTGCACAATACATGTGTGTGAGGAGGGAGGTCAGTGGAAGAGCTGGGCATGGAGACTCACAACACGCTGGCACACATGGCACACTTGTTTCCATGCGTTTTGCCATCAGGGCCCCGGACGGGATCACTCTCCCTGGTGCATATGAGCATCCCATTCTTCACTCGGTCTCGGAATTCGCTGCAGAGTTCCTGGAAAATGAAGAAAATATTTTCCCATAACTGCTTTCTACCTTTCCTATTCGAAAGCATAAAGAATACAGAGTAAAAACCAAACTGATAACATTGCAACCATAAATTGGGATTTATAAAGCATTCATTAAGAGCCCTAAATTTTCCTGTAAACAGTTACAGGAAATGGTCTTCCAGAGGGCATTTACAACCAAGGTGCAAAAGAGGCTGAAAAGTTTTTAAAGATCCCTAAAAACCATGTGTAAGCTTTTGTGTGCGTGTGTGTTACATACTGCAGCGTACAGGCTGTAAAAGATGAAAGATGAGGATTGAATGGGCTTGGAAGAGGAAACTTGGGGAATTGAGAATGCTGCTGGCTTGTGGTTTATCTTTAGAACACTGAGAAAGAAGAGAAAAAGTAAACAAGCTTAAATTAAGAAATAAAAAGCAGAGCAGATATTGAGTCTAGTATTTGAAGCATCCATGTCCCACTTCACATCACAGTGCGTGGGTTCAATCCCTGGCTCCTGCTCTTGAATAGTTTGCTGCTCACACAGGCCTGGGAGGCAGTGGTGAAGGCTAGAGTTACTGGGCTCCTGTGTTCTACAAGGAAGGCCTGGATGGAGTTCTTAGGTCCTAGCATCATCTTGGCTGGTGTGGGCAGTCGAAGAGAGAACGAGCAGATAGGAGTGAACTAAATTTCTCTTTCTCTTTCTCTCTTTCCTTCTCTCCCTCTCTCTCTCCCTCCTTCCTTCTCTCTCTCTCTCTCTCTCTCACACACACACACATACACACACACATATATGTAAGGTAAGTTTTACAAAAATGTTTATACATTTCTTTTAAACATATTTGAAAAGCAGGAAAGCGAGAACATTCGAGAGACACCTGATTATTTTGATCCGTTGGTTCACTCCCAAATATTTGGCACTAACCAAGTCTAGGCTAAGCTAAAGCAGGGATCCAGGTTTTATCTTCAGCATATTTCATATGGAAAGCTGGAACCCAAGTACTCGAACCATCATCTACTGCATCCCAGGTGTGTCACCAGGTGACAGGGGAGGTGGCACACAGTGCAGACAGCACTCAAACCAGATCTCCAAAATGGGATGGCAGCATCACAAGAGGAGCTTAACACACTGCACCACAATGCTCAATAAGAAGTGTTCTTAAAAAAGAAACAAAGATATATCTATGTGGAAAATGGTAAAAGTAACTGACATCTTCTCTGCTCTAGGGCAAGGTGACTATGTTACAATCATTGGGAAAATGTAAAAGGACTTGGAAATTGAACAAATAATGGAGGATAAAACATTGCAAATTACCAACAAAAATAATTAAAGTTTCAGAAATAGTTACAGAAAAAATGAATTAAAGTTAAATGTCTATTGTCTATCAGCTTTATCCAAATAATTATTAGGTGTGTACTTCTGCAGCCTCTGCTTATAGAATCAATACAGGTAAATCACATATTTGGCTGTTACTCAAGACCCATGTATGTGAGTCTGCCATCTACATGGAATGCCCAGATGACGCTCTTGGCTTCTGCTTGGCCCAACACTATCCACCGAGGCCATTTGGACAGTCAATGAGCAAACAGAAGATTTCTGTCTCCCTTCTGATTTCCAAACACATAAATAAATCATATATATATATACACACACACACAGTATAAAAGTAATCCAACATCTACACACTGATAAATTTGACTCCACCATGTACAAAATCATAAAAACATAGGAGGTAGACTGAAAGTAATGAAAAAGTCAAAGAATCTACATATGATACTACTTCAAAGGTCTGTGGAAAGTGGGATTAAAAATGCTTGTACAATAAAAGATTGAAATCCATGTATAATATTTCCATGCACCTGATAGATATTACCATTGAGTTTTTGAAGACCGTTCATAGGCATGGATTCCGATTTTATTTTGTATCAGAACAAATTTCTCTTTTAGCTCCTTTCATTCCTCTAACTGTCTGAAGCACTCTTATAATGATGCTAATCAAGAGTAAGAGAACTGGTAACTTCCCCGTAGCTAAGTGGGTGATGAAAATCAAATATGACTGTACACACATAGGTAAGATTACATTTTGTAGTGTGGAATGATTGAAATCCTGTATCTTGTATTTGAAATAAACTGAAGTTAGTGAACCAAACATACTGATGTCAATATTCTGAATTCAACAATCGAAATCTAATAAGGGTTAAATACGGGAGGAATGGCTTACCGAGTTAACATGCCACATTCTATGAACTGAATCTCAAAATCACAAAGTAAAATTGGTACACTGAAAACTTTCAGAAAAGGTCTGTTTAATCAGTTTAAATGCTTTTCTGTTGTTATTCATTTTGGGCATGAAAATTAAACAGGGAACATTTTTGCCAACAAGATAACTAGAATGCTATTGTAAAGACAAAAAAAAAAAAGCAGCATAGCTTCAACATTCCTGAAATAATTACCTTTGCAGCTTCTCTTTTGGCCTTCGCTCTTGCACTTTCTTGTTGTTTGCTATAAGAAATAGGAAATGTAAGGGAGAGGAGGGGTGGGGGAAGAGACAAAAGAAACAGATCTTAATCCAGTAGAACAGAAGCTGAGCGTTCAGATCATTCGTTGTTTTTGACTGTTCTCAAGGAACCCCCAAAATCCAGCAACGCACTTCGTAATTTTATTAGACGGTAAACCCGCATGTTTCACCTCACCCCGAGCAGGATAAAGTCCCTGAATTAATGAGTCATATGTACTACGCTAATACTGTATTACCTGCTGATCCTTCGCATCTATGATCATTCTTGATAACATGGTGAGATGCGACTTGGGGGGAACTGAACAGTACAGTGGTTAATTGTTTTGGAGTTAAGATTTCAGAAGGAGAATAGCAGATGTCTGTGTGCCCTCCTCAACTTTAACAAGAGGGTGATGGAGGAAGGAAGAGGGAGGGGGGAATAAGTGAGTTGATGAGCATAAAATAAAAATCGTAGTGCAGTATTAAGCACGTAAGAAAGTGATCAGTATAGGTGACGTAAAGGATTGCTGTCAAGGTCAGCCACTCAAAGCTCAATCTTCCAAAAATAGGCATATGATTGAAATGAACCGAGAGCGATGCCTTTTATTATTTTGGATAACCATGGCATTGTATGTGGACTAGATACATACCATAATTGGATATATGACACAAACAATTACATTTAGATAAAAAAGTTTACATCATTTGTAAAAATGTTTTACCATGTTCCAGTCAATGTAAGAATTGTTAATCAACAAAAACTTTAAAAGAACACTTTCATGCTACATTGTACAAAAACGTATAAAATAGTTGCTAAGAAAAAAATGAGTTTCAAGAAAAGCAAAACTTTTATTAATATCTCTATAAAATATGGGGTGATGGAATTCCTTTTGATAGCATAATCTTTACAGGAGAAATGAAAATATATTTAATCTTGTGGATATTTTTCATGTTTCTTCGCATAAAAACTAATTAAATTTTATCATGAGTGACAAAAAAGTTTAAGAAGCATTTTCTTTCCTGGTGAGAAATTATCTGAGGCACCACAGCTGACCACTAGGTGGCAGAAAGGAACTCAACTACATACAAATGTATCCACCAGAAGTTGATAAACAGCTATCATTTTCTTTATGTGTGTGGGGCCTTCCTATTCTTTCATCTATACACTGAGTTCCCAGTCCTTACTTTTCATCTGGAATTTGTGACAATACAGATGTCATTCAGGTGGTTATTGGGAAGATTAGATATGATTTGATAGCAAAGTTCTTAGGAAACATCATTTATGTGCCTTCCTTAAATGTTGGTTATGATAATTGTGTGATCATCTTTCTAACTTCCCATCTAACAGCTTTCCGGTGTTCTATGGGTTAACTTTGCGGGAGACAAGATATTTGAATATTTTGTTCTCTACATTAGAAGACTATGTAAATGCATTCTTTAAATTCCTAAATAAAAATGAATTGGGTTTCCTTTTTGATAAAAAGAAAAAATCAAAGCTTAGCAAAATCACAGACGCTTGTTTGAGAGGCGTCCTTGTCATCGATCCTGTAAGTGCATATCTACTTCCTAAATAAAAAAAACTCATCATTCTTCAATCCTTCCCTACCACATTACAAGGTCAGTTTTGACGCTGAACCCAGTTTTCTCTACATCTCTTATCCTTTTCAATTATCTTCCTTACAATCGTACAGAATGGCATGAAGAAGAAATGGTGAAACACTAAAAGGAGAAAAGTCTGATAAAATGTCTCCTGTGTGGAGACATTCGCATATATCACCATCTATTATTTCAGATCCTAAGTTTTCAGAAAGCTAGAAGCAAATTAGTATGATTTCCATGGATAATTTCCTTGTGTGTGTGAAAGATTCAGGATTACTTCTAAATTACCATAGGGGATATTATTTTGAAGTTCTTAAAAATAATATTTTAATAGACATACGTATGGATTCAATATTATATTTTCACACGCTTTTTTACATACATGGCAGAATGAACAAGTCAGGTAAATTAACATGTCAGTCACCTTACATGCTTATGCTTTGTGATAAGACCATTTAAAATCTGCTCCTGTAGCAGTTTTGAGATGTACAACACAGTATCATTAGACACCATGCTGTGCAACAGTCCCCTAAATCTTCTTTCTCCTGTCCAGCTGCAGCTGTAGTGTTGATCAATATCTTTTCACTCCCGATCCCCAGCCAGGCTCTGTCTACACCTATGGTCTCTCTCTTTTTACTTTCCATATATCCATGAGATCATGAAGTGTGTGTGTGCATGCCTGACTAATCTGAAAGCTTTCCAATTGCTTTTTTCTTAATGTGTTTTTTTTTTCCCTATGTATTTGAACCTGTCAGTCAGAACCAAAGGCTACATTAAGGAAGAAAATACAGTCATTGCAATTGTCTGAGAACCACCTATGGTGGTCCTAGTGCGCACGTTTTTGCAGCTGTACTCACAAGAAGACCTCGCACATAGAGCAGGTGTTGCCATGCATCTTGCCATCCGGGCCCTGGATGGGGTCATTCTCTCGGGTGCAAAGGAGCCGACCGTTCGTCCAGGACTTGCGGTATTCATTACACAATTCCTGTGACATCATGGAGGGAAGTTGGAAGAGGTGAACATAGGACCGATCAGACAAAAAAAAAAAAAAAAAAAAAAAAGAGAGAGAGAGAGAGAGAAAAGGTCTAAATTCGTATCTCTTTTTTTCTTAAGTGGGAATCAGCTCCCAGTTTATTTTAGAAGAGTTCATGGTTGTGAAGGCATAGCTATTTTTAAGTGATAAAAGCTGCAGGCCCTCAATGAAGAAGTAGTTACACCTGTACATGTACACAGGCAGACACAAACTGTACAGATGTTTCCTTTGCTCTCAGGGAATTCACGTGTCCCCTGCGAGCTGTCTATGGGTGTCCAGGCACATGGACCTCTTGGTTGTTGCAGAAGGTCCTCTTACCACAAAAGTTGTATTCTCAGATTGTCTTTTATTTCTTGATTCACTTTCCTTCTTTTTCTTTTCTTCTGCTTGGCTAAAAGAGGACAGTAAAAAAAAAGAAACAAATAAGAATTGTAGACTCTCCAGATCTGGAATTACGCCAAATGTAATTAAAACAAACGTTTGCTTTTTCTGTGCTTACCCCTGTTTTCAAACTATGGAATCTTCAAAACTTCATATAGTGAAACTACTAGTACAGACCCAATTTAAAGAATGATAGAATTCACAACTTTTCCAAAGAAATAATTAGATATAAGTGATTTGAAACTTAGTCTAGGGTGATTTTCTAAAAATGCCAGCGTTCTTTACTCTATGATAATTCTCCAGCTTTTGCTCCAACGGGCAGTGTCCTCTCTACTTATGTCATCCGTGACACTGAATGCTAAGTCATCCTAGCAGAAATCCTAGACACTGAGCAAGACCGACCAGCACTGAGCTGGACCCGTTCTTCCTCGGCTGCATTGGCAGGTGCACTGCCCTCACTTTCAACTATGGAGACAGCCGGAAACTTTTTCCTAAAGGTTTGCACATTTAGAAACTACTTGAGTTTTTCAAGCCTGAGGTCCTCCCACTTGCACAAGTGCCCAAGTCTTTATAAACGATAAGGTTTTCACACATTTCTCCAATTAAATAGTCTTTCTAGATACACTTTAATTCTTTCATTTTGTTGGAGTGGTCATTTCATCGTGGTACACAGAAATGAAGTGGACAATACCAACTGCCCCTTGCTGTCCCGGCTGCAGCTGTACTCACAAGAAGGCCTCGCACATGGAGCAGATGTTGCCATGCATCTTCCCATCTGGGCCTTGGATGGGGTCATTTTCTCTGGTGCAAGGGAGCTTTCCATTCCTCACCAAGCTTCGGTATTCACTGCAAAGCTCCTGCCAAGACACAGAAGACAAGTGGATACAGTCTTTTATTTCTAATCAAAGCAGAAGATTCAAGCATCGACACTGGCAAAAAAAAAAAAACAAAAAAAAACAAACAAACCAACGTTCTCTCTCTCTTTAAACCAAGAGAGCCTTTTTAAACCAAATTCTCTTTAAACCAATTCTTTCTCAAATGTAAAATTCAGTTCTACAACAAATATTGCCATTTGCTAAGAGACAAATAAGACGTAAAGCCATAATAGAAGAGGTAGACAACCGAATTCTACAATAATCTGAACAGAATAAAATAAGTGCAAATGTAAAGGTTCAAGAATATCTGAGACATTAAGGACTTGGACAATAATTCTGACTTTGGACATGAAGACAGACGTCAACAGTAATTTAGGTGAGATAGTAAAGAGTGTCCAGGATTTTCCAGGGACTAAGAAGAGGATTGTCAAGTGTGTACACTACATTGTGCAAGTAAAACCAGCCAAGTAAAACAGGTGGGTAACAATAGGGTTCATAGAGGCATATGAATTTCTAAGTCGGAGTAAGACCCATGTAAGAAAGCTAAGGAGACTAAAGCATACCCCTGTTGTTGATAGTAAGCTATTTGTGTGTTTAAACAAAGCAGCATTATGGTCTGATTTATACTCTGAAACATGATTTGTGTTCATTTTAGATACACAATGGAAAGGATAGAAGCTGCTGGGGAATTAGAAGACTTCATCATTAGAATAACACGATGCAGAACAGTTTTAGGAGGGGTGTGCAGAGAAATCTTCAATACCTTAGTGAGGAGTAACTAATCTTTGTGTTCTACCTAGTAAGGTATGAGTCCACACTGACCGTTTCCTCTCTGGTTCTAAGCTTTCCTTGTTGTTCTCTATCTATTCTAATTTTTGTTTGTTTTTTAAACTTTTCTGCACCTAAACTGTTGACATATGCTTTGTTACAGTTATAAGCCAGCTTAGACTATCCTAAAATCTGCCAAATTCAGCAAAATTATGCTTCAACACTATAAACTGCTAAATACTAAAATGAAACTAGACACAAGACAGCTGAATAGTACCCTATAGCCATTTTAAGGTGTATAGAAGCCTTTTATATACAAACTAAAATTGAAATGTCAATGAAGTAGTCACAGGATGTGGTTAAGAACTTGGCATTTTTTTTAACATATTGGTTACTCAATACCATGTCAATTAATTCCATAATGCTGTAAATTGTTGTTGATGTTATGCTGGGGCTTTTAATTGATTGGGATGATATTCTGCCAGCTCTGCCTTCAGACCAGAGATGGTCTCCCCAACAAGCCAATGAAATCATCTGGACAGTAAGATGCTGGACTCTATGCTTGGTATGTGCTTGCAATGAAAGAATCTTGACTGAATTTGAACTGTAATACTGCACCAAGGTGGAGGAATCCACCGTGGGGGGAGGTTATGGGGAGGGATTGGGAGAATCCCAGAGCCTATGAAACTGTGTCACATAATGCAATGTAATTAATAATAAAAAAGAATAATTGAATAGCAAAAAAAAAAAACACAAGAATAACATGATGATAACTGATCTAAGGCTTTGGAAATAAATGCAATATTTCACAGGTTAAAAAATCATGCATTTTCAGAAAAATCACATGTAGAAAACATAAATGTAGAATTTCTCTGGGAAGTGGTCAGCCAATGCTAACATAGTGCCCAGGTGGCAAAACCAGAATTAAAACTCAATTTTTTGAAGTCCAAATAACTTCTTTGTATTTTAGGTGGTTAGTCTTTGAAGTAGGAAGAAGAGACCAATTTTCCAGAGCACAAATTTCAATGTGAATTCCACATACAAGAGTTAAGATGTTCTGGGGACTCTGCAAGGCAGAACTCCACCCTCAGTTTAGGCTCTTTGCAGTATGCTCAAATTATGGTGCCAAGGAGGATTTATTGAATGGGCCCCACTCACGGCATAGGAGGGTGCTTTTCCAGTTTCTCTTTTATTTCTTGCTTGTGCTCCAACCCTTTTCTTTTCTTTAGCTTCTGCTTGACTGAATGAGAGAGAAAATGAATTGAATGTATTAGGACCACACAAATGCAGTATTCTCTCCAGACCCCTGCAGTGGTAATCTGTCCTCTCTCCTTAGAAAGGTATGACTGTCCCCTCCTCACAGCTTATCAAGAAAACAGCCTCCAGTAAGGCATGATATCTTGACTTCTTCATAGTCTGTTTATCGTTAAAAACATCAACATTGATAGGCAAAATTTGCTTTTTCTAAGTTATCCTTTCCTGTTGTAAGAAAAGGGGCATCATCAAAAAGAAACGTATCAAAATTGAAACCATATTGACAGTGGAAACGGGCTGGAAATGACCTTACAAAGCACACTGACTTGTTTCTCAAAAAATGTGAGAGGCAGAGAGGGCCCTGGTTATCCTCTCTTGATATGACCATCATCACAATCTTCTCCCTCAAGTCTATGTTGTGTTTACTTCATCAGGCATTCACCACACTGCATTTAAGTACAAATATATCGATTATTTATGATTGGTGAATCTAAAGGGCAAAACTTGAGGCCAATGTGGAAAGGTCAATAATTTCATACACTGATAAATCACCTACTTAAATTACTTTGTGTAATGGAATTGCATGGTATGCAGACTTTACTATTTGCAGCCAATCAAAACACAAAGGAGAGAGTTTTATTGTCATTCTTGTCGTTTTAGCATACTGATCACGACACCTGCCACCCAGTCTGGCTCCTGATTTCAGTGTCCTGGGAGGCCATGGTGATGACTCAAGTAATTGTGTTTCTCTCACCCACATGAGACCAAGATTGAGTTAATGTCTTCCAGATTTGATCCCAACTCAGACTGGGCTGTTGCAGACATTTCCAGGTTTACAACAAGTTATCCGGATGTTGTTTTTTTTCCCCATTCCTCTCTTTCCCTTTTAACCCTTCTTTTTTAAAAAAAAAAAAATCTAAGCTACAGATTGTAAATCAGACACTTAATCTGAATTCAACAGAAAGTCAGACTATATCCTGAAAGGGACTGCCAATTCTAGCTTACTGAGAAATGTTACATTATATAAAGTAACAGTTACTGGAATTTTCATGGAATTTATGATTTGTCATGGTAAGTCTGCTTACATTCGATTTCCATGTCACCTGCTAACTGCAAACTCTAACCTCAATCGAAGATGAGCTGCCTAACAAGTGGTAAAACAGATTCACAAATGAAGCTTCAGCACGTCATGCTTACCGGGACGTTTCTGAGAATGCGTGTTTAAGCAAACCCCCAGCTCTATCACTTGCTCTCTGTTTTACTCAGCTTCCTTCTCCATTTTTATTATTTATTTGCAAGAGTTATACACACACACACACACACACACACAGAGAGAGAGAGAGAGAGAGAGAGAGAGAGACAGAGAGACAGAGAGAAAGAGAGAAAGAGAGAAAGAGAGAAAGAGAGATCCTCCATCTGCTGTTCACTCCTTTTCATCTGCTGATGTACAACAGCCAGTGATGGGCCAGGCCAGGGCCAGGAGGTGGGAGCTTATTCCAGCTCTCCCATAGTAGATAGTAGAAGCCCAAACACTTGGGCCACCTTTTCCTACTTTTTGCAGGCCATTATCAGGAAGCTGGATAGGAAACAGAGCCACTGAAATACATGGATTAGTGCTCATCTGAGGCGCCAATGTACCAAACTGGCTTTACTTGCTAGGCCACACTGTGGGCCTCTCCCTTCCTTGTTTTGAGCTAGTTTCCCCATCTATGACAGCAGTCAGTTCGATTAGATTATCTACAGAGTATAATCTTTCTCCAACAATCTACACTCACAAGAAGGCAAGGCACATGGAACACAAGTTGCCATGCATTTTTCCATCGGGGCCACGGACAGGATCATTTTCTCTCGTGCAGAAAAGTATCCCTTTCTTTGCACGATCTTGAAATTCACTGCAGAGTTTCTGAACAAAGAAAAGAGACCATTAAATAACATTGCCTATTCCCCATAATAAATTTTAAACAGTCTTTATCAAAGAAAATGGGAGAGATGAATTTAGGATGGAAAAATTCCTAGGAATTTTGTGACAGATATCTCCTTACAATATTCATTCATTTAATTTTTCAGCAAATGTACCGACATAAGAAAGAATGTGATTTACATCGTATATCAGCTAATGCAAAAGTTGAAGTCATTGCAATATACAGAGAACATAACACAGATTTCAATTAAGTACATGCAAGGACAAAGGAAAGAAAGATTCTTGGAAATTCAGAGAACTTACACCTATAGTCTATCTGGAAGAATAAGATGTGTCAAAAATCAAAACATTCCCAGGAGTTATTATGTCATGAGAAGTTATATCAGCATTGAAAGTTATTCTTTTGAAACAGTCTGTCATTTCCATTAGGATAACAGTTGAAGAATCCATAGGGTGAAAAAAAAAGAAAAGTTTGGGAAGTAAGCTTTGAAAATGGGTCAAAGCTAAGCTACTAAACTTTGACAGAAATTTGAGTTTTATTCTTAGATAATAGAAAGATGAAAAAGATTCTTAAGAGAGAATGACAGAACCACATCTTTGTTTTAGAAAGATTCCCAATCAGATGAATTGGAAGATTTAAGTGACTAAGGATTGAAGTTAGAGAGTATAACTGGCAATCGGGGAGGTGGCAGAGAGAAAAAGACAAAGAAGGAAAAGGGGGAAAGAGTAGTAACAGGAGCAGCAGTAATATCTGCGAAACAAATGGAATCTTTTTATACTCATTTTGAAAAATGAAGTAGAATACTACACAGTTTCAAAGGAAACATGTTAAAAATTTTACAATGATACTGCTTTTATAAAACACGCTCTCCGACAACTACCACATTTGAAGAAAACATATCAACTTTGAAGTCAGATAATCAGCTAGCTGCTACGTCACCTTAATCTAGGAGTGTAGAAATATTTTATGAATGTGACTAACTTCTGCCAAACAGCTAGATATTTTAATGTTGCAATTATTTTTCTCGCTTTCACAAAATTGTAACCACAAGGTTAATTTCTGGAAGGTCGTTTAGTAGTGGCAGAAATATTAACCAATATTGAAAATGCGTACTAGAATAAGACAACATGCACAAAAGTCTATCAAACTAACCCTCACCTCTATTTCTTTTCTAGCTTTAACATTTTCTTCAGCTTCTCTCCGATTTTTGTCCGTCTTGTTTTTTTCTTCTGTAAATTGCCGCATGCTAGAAAAGAAAAACAAAGCAGTAGAGATGTTTCAAGTCTTCATGCTATCAAAACTTCACTAAGCAGAGATGGAAAAGCAGCTAAGTTTTCCTGAGTTCTGTACAACCACATTCAAATCAGCTTAACTCTCCCATAAAACTCCTTTCAATTAGTCTTTTTATGTGTATAATTTCTTTTACATAGAATGATCTTTTCCTCATCTCTCCTTTTAAACTTCTATGTTTTTCCAAAAGGCAATCTAGTCCCCTAAGAGAAATAAACTCTACATCTGTTGCATTGAGATGTGAATATTCATTCTGTTTTACAATATATACATGGTGCACATGTCTGTGGTTTATTTTTGTGAGACTTAACCTTCTGGAGAGTAAGCGTTTTCATTCACATTTTCACTCATTCTTTCATTCATTCATTTGTCAGTGACCCTAAGGGCCAGGTCTCAGGAGCACTGGGCAAATGCCGACACATAGCCTGTTTTCCTGGTACTTACAGCTTACTAAGGTATTTGGAGAGTCAACATGGAGTCATAGAAATAATTATTATAATTACCAATTGTGATGACTGCTGTAAAACAAAATTACCCGGGATTATGAAGATTGAATTTCACTGAAGGACTTTATGGAGGCTTACCCAAGGAAGGATACCCTGAAATGCAGTTTACAAGAGGAGGGGACGGTAGCTGGCCAAGATGGAAGAATTGTAAGTAAGGTAATATATAGTAAATGTCTTTTAGATTTCAAGGTTCTGAAAGAAAGCGTGATAAAGCCGTTTCAGAGACATCTTCCTAAACATCATAATTTATTATGTTGTAGAATTTAAATTTCTCTCGAGACCATATGTCCCAGATGGAAACATGTGAGCAATCCAATTACCGTCTGAACAAGAGCTTTTTTTTTAAGATTATTAAAGGCAGATTATTGAAAGGCAGAGTGAATGAGAGACACATAAGGAGGGAGGGAGGGAAGGAAAGAGTGAGAGAGAGGGAGGAAAGGAGAGAGCAAGTGAGTGAGTGAGCTAGTAAGCTAGGGACTGAGCTGCCTGCAATAGCTGATCTGAAGCCAAGAGTAGGATCTGTATGCAAGTCCCCTGTGTTGGTGACAAGAATCCAACAGCTTGGGTCATGATCCACTACTTCTCTGGTACATTAGCAGGAAACTGGCCTTGAACCACAGAGTGGCCAAGACTCAAACCAGGCACCTGACATGGGCTAGGGGTATCCAAAGCAGCAGCTTACCAAGCTGCTGGAACATGAATTTTTTTGAGAGTATTCTACAGAATTCTGTCATTATGAGCTAATTACTGAAGAAAACCCACCAAAGCCTTAGTACCATCTTCTCTCCTTGTTCCATACTGACTAGTTCAAAAAGAGGCTCACAGAGGTCGCAGGAGGAAATAAGAAGTTCTTGTCAATCTTCCAGCTAGAAAGCAGAATCTATCTGTACTCAGAATTAGACATCCATCCTTAGTGTTAACTCACGAGACAGTGATATGACTTCTGGAAGACACTGTTTTATCCCCATCTTTCCTTTTCCACCTATTCAGTGACTAGAGAAAGTGATTCTATACTCACAAAATTTCCGCACACAGAGCGCATTTGTTGCCGTGCATCCTGCCGTCAGGGCCGCGGACTGGGTCACTCTCTCGTGTGCAGAAAAGTCTTCCGTTCCTCACAAGTTTCTCATATTCCTTGCAAAGATCCTAGAAAACATTTTATAATTATTTCCTTACTCTCAAACCCAGAAACTGTTATGCATTGACTTATAACAATAAGATTTTTTTATGCCCAGACGTACTGATGAAAACATCTAAGATATTGGTGAGAAATAGTAAGAAATAGTGATTCTGCTGCCACATCACTCCAAACTTGTATCTATCATGTGCTGTATTTATTAAAAGGCTCCAAGGGTGAATAAGGTTGGACAAATACATACTATAACCAAAAGTGCCTAGCTCTTACTAGTTTTCAGATTCATGTGGGGAAAAAAAAAATCTTTCATGAGGTTCCAATAAAGAGACAACAGAAATGGAACAACCAGGACAAAACAAAGCAAAAAGCAGTTTGAAAGGCAGAAGACAGGTTTTGTGAGATGAAATGTTTTTAAATTACTTAGCAGGGATCAGGAACAATCTAAAATAATTGGCAAGGAGAAAGAAACAAGATGGCACGCAGCAGCACGAAGTGAGATATTTATTTTCTCTGTGAGCCTTTTGGAAATTTTTGTGTCCTTTGTCTGCTTTATCTATGAACATTAGTGACACTGCCTGAGAAAGTAAATCTGATTTCCTTTCATTTTCCTTTCATTTCTACCTTACAAAGACAAATCATCAAGACTCATATTTACTTAGAAAACCTCAAAAAAATGTTGTAAATATCAAAAAAAATGCAGGAGATTTTTCTCAAATTTCTTGAAACTTTGGCTCAGTATTTTCAGATTTCTTTATACTCTGAAAATTCTTCTATTTGATGAGGGTTACGTTTAACATAAAAATAGAATTCAAATTACCCCTAGGCCAGAAAATTTTCTCTTCTATTTTATGACACTGATTTTCCCATGTCAGCAAGAAACTATCAATACAAAAAGTGTGGCTAGGGTTGGGGAGGCTGGTGTGGTCATACAGGGGGTAAACCCACTGAATTCAGTGCCTACATCCCATATAGGGACTGGTTCAAGTCCTGGCTGTTTTACCTCCCAGCCAATGCACTTGGGAAGATAATGGAGGATGGTTCAAGTGTTTGAGCCCCTAAACACTCAGGGGAGACCAAGCAGAGGTTTCTGGATCCTGGCACCTCTCTGCTGTTTTAGTCGCTTAAGGAGTAGACCAGTAGATGCAAGACCTCTGTCTCTCTCAAATTAATAATATATCTTTAAAAAATTTTTTTTAAAAAGTGTGACTGGGAGTCAGGTGACCAAGGCCACTATACTGTAACTCATTGGGAGATCATAGCAAAGACCAATCTCCTTGAGGATCTCAATCTTAGAGCCTATACAGTGAAGTTTCTGAATGAAGGCATGCATAGTAGGTTCTTTTCTAGATCGTGTTCTCTGATTATTTTCACTAATCCAAGTTTCATTAGGATACTTTAAAAGAGATTCCCAATTGCCTCGTAATAAAAAGGTAGTTGTGTTTGGAGGAACAATGGGTGTGCTCCCAACTGCCTGGCTGTAAGAATCTAGGAACACAGAAGCACAGGACTGTCCCCCGATAATCACAGTTGGCCGTAAATTAATGCTTAATGAGTCTCATTACAGAAACAATGGTAATTTTGGTTTATAAGCTGTGATTCATCCCAAGAGATTCTGAAGAAACACTTTTGTAAGCAACTTGCTGACAGGTTAATTAGGGGTCACATATTGAGCCATTACTATTCAGTAGTTTTGCTCCACATAATTAAGCTTAATGACCCCTCCACAATAATGACCCCCGTCACAGAGAGGAAGAGGGAGCTATCCCAGACCTGATCAAAAACAAGGAAGAGAAAGCTCTATATTTATGGAGTAATAAAATGGTATCACATGATGGCCCCACATTTTAGGTTGGAATTTGTCAGCTACCAAACAATTGCTGTTCAGCACTTCGTTGTGTATTGAGCAAACTATTGACAGTTCAGCATATTTGACTTTTCCAAAGTGAAAACCCGAATGCTAAATGTGAGAATGAGAACTTAACTTCATTGAACAGTTAGGAAGTGGAGTCCAGCTCTTAACTACCAACAATTATACCTTCTTTTTCCCACAGGAAAAGACAAGCTGCATATGTGACAATAATAATAATATGCTTGAGTTGGTATGCAAGCATGCAAGCATAGGTTCTCATTCGACAGACAGGTAAAACAAACCTCCAAACTTCCTGACAAGGAAACTGAGGCTCAGGAAGGGCATGCTTTATTCAGGATCACACACCCAGAGAAGGAGAGAATTGAGGTGTTGGGACTGTCTGAGAAAAGACTAGCCATCGAGCAAACTATGTCACCCATTCAAGTAGGTGTTAGTTACCTTTGCGCTTGAGAAATCCAGGCTGTGTCACCCATAGTGCTTAGTCACTAATAATGTTCAATTGTAAAAGGAATATCCTTTTTGAAATATTTATTTATGAGCGGCAGAGGAGCCTTTTACTTGTTCACTCCTCACATGCCCAGAAGGGTGAGGGCATACAGAAGGCAACCCAGGCCTCCCATTCGGGCATCAGGAACACAATTACTTGAGTTGTCGCTGCTCTGCCTAGGTCTGCATTAGCAAGAAGGCCAGAGCCCGAGACTAGAGCCATTTTAAATCCAACCACTGCTATGTGAGTTACAAACATCTTAACTACAAGGGGAAATACCAGCTACTAGGAGAGGTAGTTTTACTTGACTGAAATTAGCTTGTCAAATGATTTGAAAAGAACTTCATTTTTAAAAAAATTTATTTTTGTTGCAAAGTCAAATATAGAGAGAGGAGGAGAGATAGAATGATCTTCTGTCCGCTGATTAATTTTAAGAGTATTTTTTTTTAATCAAGTTCTCAGCGTAAGAAAGTTTTATTTAGGCAGGAACAAGCTCTTTATAAATTCAGATATTTCTAAATGTAAGAGCCATAATGGAAAACTGAGTAAGTCCAACTTGTGTTAATGGAATTTATAGGTAATACTCCAGTGGATATACTAGAATCTTTTCAAAGTTATTCCTGTCTAATTTACAATATTTTGCAATTTATTCAAAATTGAATCAAAGCAAAAATGGGACTAAACTAAACCAGAGAGAATACAGATGGAAACTGAGCAGAGTTCAGTTTACATAAACTTTCAGTCTTACAGCAGCTTTTGAGAAAAAGCTGGAGAAGCAAAGTTAGAATCTGTACATTTTGATTGTCATGTGAACTGTAAGTCTGAATCTGATGGCCTATCTAGGAATAGTTAGTTTGTGGACTTTTTTTAAAGTAGAAAATCCATTCAAAAACACTGGTCAATGACATTACATTATTTCAAACGTTCACAATGAAGTTTTCTGATATTCATTGCCACAAAAAGCAATTTTCTTGTTGTTGGCGAGTCATTTACCTTTTCTGCTTCTCGTTGAATTCTGGCTTCACCTTCTCGCTTGGCATTTTCTTCAGCTTCCTTTAAACTATTAAGAAGAGCAAAAAGATGGACAATGTATAGCTTGATTTTATTTTCTGTGTCCAGTTCTGTGCTACGCACTTTCCTATCCTCTGCCACAACTTGTTGAAACTCATCAACTTACAGGAGACAAGCATTTTCCTGTCTTGAATGCCTGAGCTGAGACACTGGCAGAGATAAAGCAGGGTGTGACTCACTGACAGTCAGTCAGAAGCTTTGTTCTGAAAACTGGATGCTGTGATATCTTGATTGACAAACAGAAGAAAATTTCCTTTAACAGGCAGAACCAGGGCTTTAAAACAATGCTGTGATGACGGAGAGAGAAGATACGAAGCCCTGGAGATATTTCCATCCACACCCTTGAACATATACATATTTATTTTTAAGACAGAGACACGGAGATAGGCAGAGAGATTTCCGATCTACTTCATTTACTCCCTGAATACCTGCAAAACATCTATGACTGGGCCAAGCTGAAGTCAGGAGCCAAAACTCAACTCAGGACTCCTATATAGGTGTCAGAACCTCAAATATATGAGCTATTACCTGCTGCCTGCAACTGTGCACATTAGCAGGAAGCTCAGATCCAGGAACTAGAACATGTGGCCTCTTACCTATTCTAACACCTGCCTGTGACTGGTTAGGTCTTTGCCTCGCATGTACCAGGATCCCATAAAGGCAGCTGTTCCACTTCCCTTCTAGCTCCCTGCTGGTAGCCTAGCAAAGCAGTAGAAGATGGCCAAGGCCTTGGGACTCTGCACCCATGTGGGAGACCCAGAAAAAGCTCCTGGCTTCTGGCTTCAGATTGGCTCAGCTTTGGCCTTTGGGGTCACTTCAGGAGTGAACCAGCAGACAGATCTTCCTCTTTCTTTTCTTCTTTCTGTGTATCTGCCTTACCAATAAGAATAAATAAATCTTTTTTAAAAAAAATGTAATGGATTTGCCTTTTTGAAAAGTATAGAGCTAACTTCGACCCAAACTTCTAAGCCCTTTTACGTCAGTTACCAGATTACAATCTCCAGTGGAGTCACACATGGCCATCTCAGCTCTACTGAGGCAGGAACTATGAGTCAGAGGTCAAATTCTCTTTTTAAACTACTATTTGAAAAGCAACAGAAAACCACAGCATTAACGCAGGTTTGAACACTGAAAGGGCATGCCTCCCAGATAAGAAAGTGGAAATCAGGTGGATTTCCTGTCTGAATACCTGTTATAATGACTGTTTTATAAACCTGACAGGACATGCTCCTGAATCCTGTGATGGCTAACTGTAATTCTGGAGACAGGGATGGAGTTTATCAATCTGTTAAATCTTTTTCTATCCTGATCTCAAAGATCCAGTGGTGTGAATACAACACATTAATGTTTGTTGACTTGTGGATTAGTCTACACCTTGTTACACAGCCAGAATAGGAACAGTGAATAGGATCTTGCATATGAGTTTTCCACACCAACAGCAGTGCCAGGCACTCAGAGAGCAATTAATCCAACAGTTCTTCCCTCTCAGAATATTCCTTTATGCAAATAATTGATTCAAACATACAGCACTTTCATTATTTTCAATAGACAATGATTGTGCAGATTCTCTACATAAGCCCAAATGTCACAATACTGCCCAACAAATGACCCAGATGATTCTAGATTAAAATGCCTTCTAATTGAGAAATAATCACACTTCACACTGTGTGATTTCAAGGAATTATAATCTTAAAAAAAAACTTAAAAGTTTCAAATCAACATTTCTCCTTTTAAGAACTTGTAGCTCAGAAAAAGAAATCCTTCTGAGAGTACTTTTATTAAGACCCCTGATTACATCATTCATGAAAAGGGCTTCTGTATCTATGGAATGGTCCTGAGGACAGCAGTCAAGTGCATCCTTGCAGGTCCAGTTGGGGGTGATGATACTCACAAGAGCTCCGCACACATGGCACACTTATTGCCATGTGTCCTCCCATCAGGACCCAGAACTGGGTCATTTTCCCTTGTGCAGCCAAGTCGTCCGTCCTTCACATATGCCCGAAAATCACTGCAAACATCCTAAAGAACAGGCAGAAGAACCTGGCATCCACATCATGATTGTAATGATTACAACACTGTCTTCCCAAAGTTTACATAACTTAGCACATCTGACACTGTGACGGTGCGCTTTGACCACCTATAAGAGTCACAGAGGTGCGAGCCTTGTAGACGCAGTTTAATAAGCATTCTACAATTCATATGATTAAGAATGAAGCTCCCTTACTTATTCATTTATTCATCAGCCTATCATGCTCTAGAATTCAGGTAGGGCATCATTTTTGCCTTCAGTTGACCACAATCTCTCAGGTAACACAGAAAAACAGACATTGAAAGTAGGATGTGCTACGCTGCTTCCTGGAGCATAAAGGCAGCAGACCTTGGAAATTAGGAAAACTTATCAGCTAGAAAAAGGGTAACATGTGTAAGACACGGTCTTCCTTCTATGACCATCATAAACTCACAGACTTTTAGCATAGAATGAAGCCACTTAGTTCAAATTTCATTTAGGCTAAGTACTTTGCCCAAGATCTCCTCAAATTGAGTAACCGTGTTGAGGTTTACTTTTAGGTTAAATCAGTTTCCTATTGATTTCTTTGTTTAAACAAAGACACTTTAATTCACTATATATATATATATATATATATATATATATATATAGTGAATATATATATATATATATAAGAAAAATATCATTACATCTTCACAAATGAGTCTTCTTTATAGTGCAAAATCAAACCAGAACTCAAATATCTAAGCACCGAAGTAACTTGGTCTAGGTTTTGGAACTGTCAATTGCTTTTCCATTTAACTTTCATTATTCCATTTCAAGTGAAGGAAGACTTCTTTCCTTCTTGGACCAGTGCTGTAATGCAGTAGGTTAAGCCATTGCTTTTGACACCAGCATTCCACATTAAAGTGCTGGTCAAGTCCCAGCTACTCTACTTCCCATCCAGCTCTCTGCTAATGTGTCTGGGAAGGCAAAAGATGATGGCTCAAGTCCGTCTGTCCTGCCACCCATGTGGGAGAGCAGGATAGGGTTCTTGGCTCTCGGCTTCAGCCCAGACAACCCTGGTTGTCACAGCTAGTTGGTGAGTGAACCAGAGGGAGGATGAATTTCTATCATAAATAAATAAATAAGTAAATAAATATGTATATAAATATATAATGTGTATATACATATTTATGTGTATACACACATACATATATATACACACAAATTGTTTCCCTCTAGGCATTCCACCAAAGAAAGAAATGGAAAGCCTCTGGTTTATCTTTGCCCTTAGCCAATGTTTATCCTTACCTGCTTCGGATTATTGTTCTCACATTCCCCTTCATTCCTTATGCCAACTTGGGACCTGGTTTTCCTGCAATCAAAAGTTAATAGGCACAGCATTACAGAACTTTCCACTACTGAAACCTGGTATCTCTCCACTGTGTTGCAATTCTCTTTCACTCCCTAAAAACAGAAGTCATACTGCACTCTTTACTTACTTTTCCTAATGAAAGCCTATGGTTAAGACATGAAGTCTACAATAAAGAGTCAGGTTTGGAAGGCTGGTAAGACTCAAACTTGTATATGATACTGCCCAAAATAATATTCTTTTTGTTTTCGGGGGGTGGGGTGGATTCACATGAGCAAATAGGGAAATGAACGCTTGTAACTAGGATTTTGGCACCTCCAAGGAATTTCGCTATCCTTGCTTTTCTCATTTTAAATAAACAAATTCACGTTTGTATTTTCTAGCATCTTACTCTTTATATGGATTACACTGGCTAACACTTTATTTTTCTCGGATAGTACATAAAGTTCTGACAGCTTCTCAGTCTGGTAGGGCTTCAAAGCATGTGTGAAAATGTGAGAAGAGTGCTGTCTCATTTCTAAAAAGATAAAGTGACTCACAATGACAACATCTGCCTAACAATAAAACTACAATAAAAACAATGTAAAGGAAAAGCTGAGTATTAGCACAATGTTTCCACGGCTGCATTGCAAGCATGGGATCCCTTATGAGCAGTTCACTTCCTGGGTGCTGCTCCACTTCCCATCCAACTCCCTGCTTGTGGTATGGGAAAACAGCAGAGGACAGCCCAAAGCCTTGGGCTCTGCACCCACGTGGGGGAGCTGGATAAAGCTCCTGGCGCCTGGCTTCAGATCAGTTCAGTCCTGACTTCTGTGGCCATTTGTAGAGTGAGCCAACAGATGGAAGTTCTTTTGGGAAATTGATTAGAGAAGATAATACTTGTGAATAAAAGATCATACATAGATGTGCATATGTACATATATACATCTACACAGAATACATATGCATGTGTATAATGCAGATGTATGTGAACATATAGGTATGTGTGTGTTTACATATAATCTCCCTATCTTGCCTACTTCACAGAAACACTTCTACTCATATGATAAATTGCACACAAAATTACTCTGTAAGAAAGAGTGCCATACTATATAACTTTCTTCTTATCAGTAGCAAAAAAATGTGGTATTAATAGTTTATAGATGGCTAACTCCTACAAAATAAATTACCTTAAATACTGTAAGGAAAACAGCTTCGTGTAATTGTGTAAGAATATGCTCTAAGGAGCATGCCTGCTTCTGGGAATACTTACGCATTTTTGGCACACAGCTCACATCTGTTGCTGTATGTCTTCCCATCTGTGCCACAAACAGCTGTATCACCGTCAGTGCAGATAAAACCCCCATCTCCTTCTCCTTTCCTGAATTCATCACAATTCAGCTGCAGGAGACATGATTAAGGAACATCAAAATGTAAGAGAGAAAATACTGCTTAGGTATTATAAATAAGTTAACATCTTAAGCCCACAGTAATATAAATTACTGGAGGGAAAAAACATATTAAGATAAATGAACTAATATAATCATAGGTTAAAACCTGGTTGAAGTATAGAGACAGAGTTAGGTTTTACAAGAAAAGATTGGGGTGGTGGGGAGCTCAATTGGCTAATCCTCTCCCTTGAAGTGATGGGATCTGATATGGGTGCCACTTTGTGTCCCAGCTGCTCCACTTGCCTTCCAGCTCCCCGCTTATGGCCTAGGAGAGCCTTGAAAACCTGCATCCTTGTAGGAGACCCAAAAGAAGCTCCTGGCTCCTGGCTACAGAATGGCTCAGCTCCGGTCATGCAGTCACTTGGGGAGTGAATCACCAATGAAAGATCTTTGTCTTTTCTTCTCTCTGTAAATTTTCCTTTCCAATAAAAAAAATAGAATCAAATCTTTTTTTTTTTTAAAGACAATTTTGAGGTGATTGCAGCCATTTGCTGTTGAGTGAGGAAGGGCAAATTTCCTCTCTGCTATTTAGTCTACCGTTTATTTATCAAAGCCTGCTCCCCTTCTCCATGAAGTGCTACTGAGGCACAGTAGATAATGGATGTGAAAGCTCTCTGATAACTATAAACCATAGTAAGTTTCCTATTGTTGCAGACTAAGATAATAATCAAAAGTCAGATTTCTGGGTTCACAATTCTGACGTGGCCACTTACTGCCTAATTTGGCAGACAACTTAATTCCTTTGTGTCTTCGTGTCCTCTGCAGAATCAACATGATTTGCCAACCCTCTCACAACCATAGCAAAAGCTGTGTGTAGGAGCTAGAACCATGCCTCACACTTCATAACATTTGCCTATTGTTATTTCAACTATCTCTTGCACTGAAAACCAAGTCAAGAAAACTGAAAAATCTTCTAGGGATAATGATGGAAATTCTGAAATCTCTACTAATGATAAGAGATACATTTGGGCACAAGACTGGTAAGAAAAACAAATGCAACAGGTAATAACTGATTTGCTACCCACTCACTTCACCTCTTTAAACCTCACTTTCCTCATCTAAAAAATGGTCATTCACACCCTACCTACATCCAGACTTGTGGCAAGGATCTCATGAATACTTACGAAATATTTGGCAGCTAATTATTTTGACATACACTAGCCAAAGATGACACAGAGTTAACTTGAATCTAATGCCTGCCCAAAACCAAAACAAGGAAAATTCTTTCCTTAGGAGATCACATTACAAAATAAATTTTTGATGTTACTATTTTCATACTAAAATATGTCAATGGTATACATGGAACATTTAGATTATAGATCTGTGGTGATCGAATATGACTCATAAATAAAAAATAAAAACTGGATGGATTTTTATTTTTTATTTTATTTCTGAACCAGATCAGATTGAAAAAGGAAAAAGAACTGACACCAGAAAGGAAAGGAACTTCCTACTGTGTACCAGGCTTTGCACTTGACTGTGAGGGGAGCTGAGGGAAGGACAGTCCAGGCCCAAGAGAACCTCCACTGCAAAGGGTGGCTGGAGCACAAAGAAAAGGCAAAATAATTTTTGATTTTTCTCTGAAAAAATCTTTTGGGAAGACAACTGAAGTATGAGAAAATAACAGTTCGAAGAAATTTGTTTGGGTCAGTCACTGCTATTCTCCCATCGCCAGAACATCAACAGCGACATACTAGGTCACGGGTGTTGTCAGAGTAACACAGCAGGCCCAAAGCTCAGCTGGGAGGTAATGCAGGTGCAAGCATTTGTTACTCCACCACCCTCTCCAAACTGCAAGGGGGTGGTGAATCACAACCTACAGAAAATACCTCTTATTAAAATGAACAGTCTGGAAGCTCATACTGGATTCCTTGCCAGCATTCTTTAGAGTTAAGACTTTTATACATACTATTTTCAGAAACTTATAAAGGGGAAAATATAAGCTTAATTCACTAGACTTTTTATAGAAAACACCAATCAAGAAACAAAAACTAGATATTTTCTTAGAATTACATGGAGCAGTTTTAAAATAGAATATTTCTTGGGCCACAAAGAAAGTCTTAAGTTTCAAATTATCAATGTTAGATGGATTATGTTTTCTCATCAAAATTTATTAAAATTGAAAGAATTAAAAATAGAACAATGTGAAAAGCTGACATATCAATAAATAATACTGGGGATTAAAACACTTAGGAAAAAATCAAAGATTTTGAGTACAAATACAGGGATACAGAAAACTTAAATATTTTTAAAATTAGGAGTGGGCTGAGGTACAGCGGCTAAGTTGCCTCTTAGGACATCCACATCCATGGCTGAAGAGTCTGATTTGAGTTCTGGCTATTCTGCTTCCCATTCAGCTTCCTGCTAATGTGCACATGATGATGGCTCAAGTACTTGGGTCCTGGCCACTCAGGTAGGAGACCCAGGCTGAGTTCTGGGCCCCTGGGTTTGGGTCTGATCCAGCTGTAGTAGGCATCCTGGGAATAAACAAGTAGATGGAGATCTACCACGTGCTATACATAATTGTATGTGCTATGCTTTTGCATGACTGGCAAAACAACAGGCTTGGTGATGGTATCACCGTAAACATGTGAGTAATGCGTTGTGCTGCATTATGACAGCAACAACATCAGTAGGTGAAAGGAATTTTTCATCCCCATTAAAACCTTTTGGAACTGTTGTATAAGCTTGTTTTTCCTTGGTTGAAACATTACTATGTGCACATGTCTATGTTTAAATATTTATCATAAAAATTTCTTATATTTTGCTGCCATTGTGAATTAATACTTAAATTTCAAATTGTTTATTGCTGGCATACAGAAACTGTGTTATTAGTCTTACATAAGATGTTGCTATGTTACATGAGATGATGTTGCTAAATTTATTCTTTAGGTCTAGTGATTTTTTTTTTGATTTCTTAGAATTATCTATGCATGATATCACAGTTTTACAATTACAGACTATTTCCTTCACATTGAATAATTAATTAGCTTTGCTTTATTGTATTGGCCAGAAACTCTAGTGCAAAGATGAATAGAAATGGTTACGGTAATCGGCTCTTTTTCCGTCCTTAATCTTCAGGGAAAAATATTTACCTTAAGTGTGATTAGCTGTAGACTTTTCATCAATACTTTTTATTAGACCAAGACTCTCACATGAGTAGCACTGACCCAGTCACTCTGAGCTGGTAAGAAGCTGCAGTCAAGAGCCAGAGCAAGGACTTGAATCCAGGTATTCTGCTGTGTAATACGGGCCTCTTAATCAGCACCTCAACCATTCAGCTAAATATCTGCCCCATCAGAGTAGGCTGAGAAGTGTCTTCTCTGTTTCCTAAGCAAATCTAAAAACGATTGGTGTAAAAAAAAGGATTGCAGGGCCTATTGAACTGTATCATAAAATGATAATAAATATAGAAAAGAAGGATTGATATTAGTTCTATCAGTGAAGTCATCGAGGGCTGATTTTTTAAAATTTAATTTACTCACTATAGATTTATTCTGATTTTCTGTTGCCTTTGGAGCCAGTATTTTGTAGCTTGTTTATTTCTAAGAATTTTTCAATTTTATCCATGTTACCTAATTTGTTATGTTGGCACTGTTCACAATGTTCATATATAGATTTTACAATTATTCTGAAGCATTTCATTCCAGATTTTGCTAATTATTGTTTTCTCATTTTTTCTTGTTCTTAGGTAAGTAAACGTTTTGTAAGCTTTCTCATTTTTAAATGAATCAACTTGGTTTAATTATTTTCTGTTTGGGATAGCATTCAATTTTGTTCTAGTTGTATTATGACCTCTTTGCTTACTTTGCATTTACCTTGCTCTCCTTTTTGTAAGTTTCTTAAGGTGGGAATTTAAATGGTTTGAGAGACTGGCACTGTAGTGCAGTGGGTTACGCTACGGTTTGTAATGACAGCATCCCCTATCACCTCACATACTCGAACACCAGCTCTCCTGCTTCCCATCCCGTGTCCTGCCAATACGCTTGGGAAGGCAGTGGAAGATGAAACAAACACTTGGACCTTTGCCACCCAAGTGGGGGAAACACGGGCATTGTTGTCATAGTTGGGGAGTTTGGAAGGATGTGTGAGCCAGTGCATGAAAGATCTGTCCCTTCTTCTGTTTTCATATGTTCATTTATACCCGTAATTTTAGTGACTTCTCTAGTAATTACAATATGCACTTTATCACAAACTCTACTAGATGAAATACATAAATCTGATAAAATACAGAAATTCTATATATCCTGTTTTGTGTATTATTGTCAAATGTGCTATATCTACGCACAAAATGAACGAACATTACACCTACTGCCTTATAGAATGTCTTTAGGGGAAATTAGGAGAAAATTTAAAAAACTTATTTGTAGACTATATCAACCCATATTTTCAATATTTCTGACACTTCTTTTTGTAGTTCCAAACTACTGTTAATCAAAAGTTAATAAACCAGTTAATAAAGTCTCTCACATTATTAATATGGAAATATCTTTATTTTGCCTTAATTTTTGTAGGATACTTTTGGAGCACACAGTATCTTAGCTAACTTCTTTTTTGTTTTTTAATCTTCCAACACTTCAAAAGCATTCATTCCATTGCTGCCGCGTGATCATTAGATGAGAAATCAATCTACATAAAGTTTAAAAGTCATTTTTTCTTATAACCTCAAAACTTTGCGTTTTTTAAAAAGATTTATTTATTTTTAATTGGAAATGCGGATATACAGAGAGGAGAGACAGAGAGGAAGATCTTCCGTCTAATGGTTCACTCCCCAAGTGACCACAGCGGCTGGAGAAGAGCCAATCCGAAGCCAGGAGCCTCTTCCAGGTCTCCCACGCGGGTGCAGGGTCCCAAAGTCTTGGGCCGTCCTCGACTGCTTTCCCAGGCCACAGGCAGGATGCTGGATAGGAAGCAGGGCAGCCGAGATTAGAACCGGCGCCCATATGGGAT